ATGTACTTAAAAATTAGGATCATAGTATGTGTACAGATTTCTGGTCTGCCTTTAAAATTTTTATTTTTGTATTTTAAATCCACTACATGCTAAGAGCACGCTCTTCCATTGAGCCTATAGTTTGCCTTTTAAAAAGTATATTTATGTATTTGCCATGCCAGGGGTCAAACCTAGGCCTCCTGCACACTAGGCAAGCGCTGTACCATTGAGCTGTGTTTTATTTTTAATTGACCTGGAGTAATTGTACATGTTTATGGGGTACAGTGTGACATTTCCATGATGCACACAGTGTGTAGTACCCAGTTCAGGGTAACCAGCTGTCCATCCTCTTGGGTACTGATCATTTCTGTGAGGAACCTTCAGAGAGCCTCTCTAGTAGCTATTTTGAAATGAATACAATGAGTTGTCAACCAGCTACCCTACTGCACTAGAACAGGACATTGGAATTTTTCCTCCCATAACCGCCCTCTCCCCTCCTCCCTCCCCAGGCTCTGGTAACCACTGTTCTCCTGTCAAGATCAACTGCCTACCTTCCACATATAAGTGAGAACCTGCAGTATTTGTCTTCCTGTGCCTGACTTGTTTCATTTCTTTTCTAGTCTGCTTTTTAAAATTGAATAATGTCAGCTTATTTCCCCCATATCCTTAAATGTCTCTCATGAACATGATTATTTTAGTGCTTTTTTTGTGTTCCACACACACATAAATCCCCATTTACCTGTGCTAGCCCTGTGCTGGACATGTAGATCCCTCCCGTTACTTCCTCATCAGCACTGGTGGGGCCTCGCCTGCCCGCCTGCCCCTTCTGTCCTCAAGCCTGGAGGGGCCTCTGAGGCAGGGTTGTTGGATGCATGCAGCGGCTTCACACCTGCGGCCCCATCCTGCCCTCCCCTGCGCCCTGTGCTCATGCCGGTTCACACCACCCCCAGCAGAGTGTGAAGCCCTCGCTCACCACATCCTGGGTTTTATTTTACTTAAGAGAGGAAAAACACAAAAACCCACAAAACCAAATTTAAGCTGCTCAGTGCATTTGTTTTTTAAACCTTAAAAACAATCCACTCCATAAAAAAAAACCGTTCTAGAAGATAAAAGTATATAAAGTAAAAAAGACAAAGCTCCTCTCTGCACTGCCTCCACTGAAATCCCACTTCCATGGAGGTGACCTGCATGCAGCTTTCCAGATCCTGGGTGTGTGTGTGTGTGTGTGTGTGTGAGTGTGCATGTGTGTGTATGTGTGCACGCACATGCAGATGTGTGCAGGCACAGCATGTACACACAAGATATATATTGTTTTTCTAAAATACAACAGGAACCTTAGGATATATATTCTTTTTTTTCTTGGTACCGGGGATTGAACTCAGGACCTTGTGCTTTCGAGGCAGGCGGTGGCCCCACTGAGCTAAACCCCTGGCCCTGGAACCTTAGGATGTATTCTGGTCTACATTCTGTGAAAGGTCTGAGACTGTGTCACGGAGAGACTTCTAAGTCACTGCGTCCCAAGCCAGCCTCACCGCAGCACCACAAAAACAAAAAAGCAAAAAAGAACCAATGTCAAATGCAGCCTCATCCTTTTTTTTTTTTTTTTGACAAGATCTTGCCGTGTAGTCCAGGCTGGCCTCAGACTTGCAGTGATCCTCCTGCCTCAGCCTCCTGAGTGCTGAAATCATAGGTGTGTGCCACCCCGCCCAACTTGCAGCCTAAACTCTAGGGCTGTATATTATAATTTCAAAGCTGAAAAGAGCCATAACTTCTAGCCACATGTCAAACATTTTTTAAAATCTAATTTATAAAAAAACATACAGTGGGAGATAGGCTCCTAGACCCTCAGAGAATATCTGAAACCACAGATAGTATCAAATCCTATGTATACTGTGCTTTTTCCTATATAATAAGGGTTAACTTATAAATTAGGCATAGTTGCCAGAGCATGGTGGTGCACAGCTGTAACCTTAGCACTTGGGAATCTGAGGCAGAAGGATCCCTGGAAGTTTGAGGTTAGCCTGGGCTACATAGTGAGTTCAAGGCCAGCCTGAACTGCAAAAGGAGACCCTGTCTCAAAAAAAGGCATAGTAAAAGATCAGCAACAATAATGATAGAACAATTATGACAGTATACTATAATAAAAGTTCTTTAAAATTTATGAATTATCTCTAGAATGTTCCGTGTAGTATTTTCAGACTATGGTTGACCACAGGTAACTGAAACTGTGGAAAGCAGAACCGTGGATGAGGGGTCGCTGTGTGGGTGAAGGGATTGCACCAGTGGCCAAGTGTTCGGTTACTTGTGTCTGTGTGAATGTTCCTTCCATAAACTTGAGTGCTTTGTGCTCCAGATGTGCCAGGGGTAGATACAACTGTGTGTGAAGCAGAAATTATTTCTTTCCTTATGCAAATGATGGTCCATAAAGGGAAGTCCTCTAGTCCCTGCTGTCCTGTCTCTGATTTGCTTTGTACTTGGAGGAGGAGAGGGAGATGCATTTTCATAGAAGAGCAGCCCTTCTGGGAGCATGGGGCTCAGGGGCACCCCCACAGCTGTGCAGGGAAAGCCTGAGGTTGTTGGGCTGCAAGGAGGGATTGTCCCCCCTCCACCCTCCACGCTGGTTCCTGTTTTTGGGGCCGGAAGGGAAGTAGCCGCTACCCAAAAACCTGGCTGGCACTTGTTTCAGGGAGGGCCCTGGGACCCGACTGTGTATTGTGAAATTTGGTGATTTCTCTTTCCCTTCTCCTGTCTCAGGGAGGAGTTGGGGGCAGCTGCTGGAGCCTCCCCTGGGTCTGGTGACCATGGGGGTTTGCAGGGAAACCAGGCTCTTGTGGGCCCAGGCTGACTGGGGGGCGGGGGGGGGGCGCCTGGTCTCTGCCCCCGACACACACACCAGTCAGCAGCAGAGCTGGCTTCCTGCCTGCGTCCACCTCACCTGCAGCAGCTGTTGGTCCCAGCCTGGAAGGTGACAGAACCCTGTCTCCCCTCTGGCCAGACCGTCCCCTGCTAGCGATGCTGTCCAGGTAGCACTGCGAGGGCTGAGGTGGAGGCCCGCCTCCTGACCGCTCCCACAAGGGGCCGAGGGGCTTCAGCCCAGCCTCGCCCTCACCTGGCTCGGTGCCCCTGCAGCAACACCCTCACCCACGAGTGCAGCCAGCTCCCGTGAGCCCAGCTGCCACCTGTCATTGTTCACCTGTGTGGTTTCGTCCTCGGGACAGCCCTGCAGATTGGTTCTACAGATCAGCTTCTCCGTATTGCACAAGGGGGAACTGAGGCTCGGAGGTTTTGTGACTGTCCTGGCCCCTGCCTGTCTCCGACTTCATTTGGTTCCACTCCCGTGTCTCCTTCCTGCCATGCTGTCCCGTCCCTTCTGGTTCCTCAGGCCAGCTTGTGCCCACCCCTAAACCAGTGCCCTCTCCCGGCTCTGGCTGCCTCAGCCCTGCCTGGAAGGCGGGCCCAGGGTGATTGATGGCTGTGGTCTCCACCCCTGGCGGGAAGGGCCTTGCGGAAGGGCTTGTCAGGGTCCTCCCTCCCTCCCTCCTCCTCCACCCCCTTTCCTCCCTCCTGCTGTGAGCTCTCAGCCCCGAGCTCCCACCCCCGTGGACATCTGTGATTATCGCAGGCTCCTCTGCTTCCCCCATGAGCTCTGCGCACCTGAAGGCTTAGATCGCTTTGGTCCCCACTGCAGCCTCTGCTTCCCACGCACATCTCGGTGTTTGGTTAGTCCAGAAAACGGTACATGTTCATCATGACAGAGTTACAGAAGCCCGAAAGCAGAAGGAACCTTGTCTAGACTACCGCCCCCGGGCACCCCCTTAACCAATCCAGTGAATTTCCACCAAGTCACCCAGTGTATGCTTTGGCCTTTTTGGGGGTAGGGGTGTGATTGTATACACACAATGTATTCAATTGTAAATTTCCCCTTTCCTCACTTTATGAATAAAAATCAATAAATATAGGAATAAAACATTTTACATTAAATACTTCGAAACTAATTTTAATGACTACAGAATATTTCATACGTGAGGTTATATCATTTTTCTTTTTTTATATCATTTTTCTTAATCTGTTCAGTTGTTTAACCTTTACTACATCTTTCTGCCTCTCCCAGTTTCCCGTTTAGTCTTCACCGAATGTGTGTGTAACAAGGAAAAGAGGAGGGTGAGAGAGGGAGAGAGGGAGACAATCTCAATTCCTTTTTGAAAAAGGAAAAGGCAGGCTATATATTGTATGTAAAAAGGTTTTAAAATGGTATCTATGGCTGGCAGTGTAGAGAGTGCTTGCTTGGTGTATAGGAGGCCTGGGGTTTAATCCCCAGAACTACCCTAAAAATGCTTAGCCAGGCATGGTGGTGCGCGCCTGTAATCCCAGTACTTTGGGAAGCTCAGGCAGGAGGATTGATAAGGTTAAGTCCTAGCTGGGGAGTTTAGAGAGACCCTATTTCAAAATACAAAATAAAAAAGGGTGGGGATGTAGCTCAGTGCAAAGGCCCTAGGTTCAATTCCCAGTTCTCGAAAAAAAAAAAGCTAAACAATTTTAAATTTGTTACTATTATAATGCCGCTTTGATGAACTGGATCAAAAGAGAATGAATGTGGTAAAAGTTCTAATTTACCTGACAACTTGCTTTCTTAAAGGTTCATGGCACTTTCCAAGCCCATGAGCAGGTAGGAAAGTGGCCATCTCAGTCTGAGTTTTTTGTTTTTATTTTTGTTTTGTTTGTGTGTTTGTTTTCTTTAGACAGGGTCTTGCTATGTGGTTCAGGGAGGCTTTGAACTCACTACGTAACCCACCACGCTGGCATCAGAATTTGTGGTGATCCTCCTGCCTCAGCCTCCTGAGTGCTGGGATTACCATGCCCAGCTCTCAGTCTGTTTTCACAGCAGGAGTTTGCTGGATAGAAAAAGACATCTTCTAGTCAGTGTGCAGTGCGTGTCCCTGAGTCCACATCACAGACTTGTCACCCAGGGCCGTGGGTGGAGGAATGTCTCCAGATATTTCATCTGGGATTTTGTCTTGCAGCTGACTTTGGTGTGTCTGCTAAGAATCTGAAAACTCTGCAAAAACGAGATTCCTTTATAGGAACCCCTTACTGGTGAGTCGCACGGCTTCTGGAGATTGAATGGTGGGCTGAGTGTTACCCCGAAAACTCTAACCTCAGGGTGGTTTGGGGGAAGTGAGTCCAGGAGTCAAGGACCCAGGGCCCTGGGTGAGCCAGCCTCTGCTTACTAGTGCTGTGACATTGGGTGTGTTGCTTCTCTGCCTATGCCTCAGTTTCCACTAATGTAAATGAGGAATAGAAAGGTGCCTAATTGGGCCTGGGGATTTATCTCAGTGGTACCACTGCTGCCGCCTGCCTCGAAAGCACAAGGTCCTGAGTTTGATCCCCAGTACCAAAAAGACAAAACAAAAAACACCAGAAAGGTGCCTAATTGAAAGGGTTATGTGGGGCTGAGTGACGCACATGGAAGGCGCTCCATGAAGAAGCAGAATGTATGAGAAATGGCTCAGTTCTTACTCATTCCGCATCAAGTGCCAGGCACAGGCTGGGGCGGGGCGGGAAGGTGAGCAACCTAAGGTTTCTTCTTAGCCTCGCCGAAGCCTCCCTGGAATTCTCTAGTCTCCTGTGTTTCCTTCCTTACTAAAACTATTACTTTAAAAGAAACAAAACTCTCATTCAATTTCACACCTAATTACTTTCTATGTTGTGGTATTTTCACAAATTGCCATTGTGGAGTATAGCTCCTTTCTTGCTTATTTCCCTTAATTGTTTCTCTCTCTCCCTTTTTATTCCTCTTTCTCCTTTTCTCTCCCATCCCTTTCTCTCTGTGCTGTTGTAGTCCCCCCACCTCCTGCTGCACCTTTCCCTCTGCCCCCGACCCACCCTTCCCCAGGACTCTGTGTTCTGGACCGCTGCCGCCACCTGGTGGTAGGCCTTGGGAACTGCAGCGGGCCTGGCGGCGCCTCAGTAAAGGTGAAGAAAGAAGGTCTAAGGAAGACAGTGGGATGTCAAGTAATCCAAACCCCGGGTGGGGCGTGCTGCCGACCCCTGACACGGCCTCGTGGTGGTCCTTGACCCTGCATCTTTGAGAAGCGCCTGTGGCGGCCAGGTGCTTAGCCCTCTGTTGTCCCTTGCTTGGTTCAGGATGGCCCCTGAGGTGGTGCTCTGCGAGACCATGAAGGACACACCATACGACTACAAAGCCGACATCTGGTCCCTGGGCATCACGCTGATTGAGATGGCACAGATTGAGCCCCCGCACCATGAGCTCAACCCCATGCGGGTGCTGCTCAAGATCGCCAAGTCAGACCCTCCCACGCTGCTCGCACCCTCCAAGTGGTGAGGAGCCAGGGGACCTGCCCCGGGCTGGGGGGTCTGTGCCGAGGGATGCAGTATCGGGCTCTGAGCCTTTTTGAGCTCCCCGCTCTTCTCTCCGTGCTATGGGCCTGGGAGCCCAAGCCAAGCCCTAGCAGCCCCCTGAGTTGGGGAAAGGAGGCTTGGGTTCAAATTCCACCCAGTGCTGCTGTCTTCACTAGATGGCCCTGGCAGTCCCTGCTCTTCTGGGATTTCCGTCAGCCATCCAACAGTGATTTCCAGGATGAGAGGGCATTGTGTGGGCCCTGGCACCTCCTCCGTTTTAGCCCATGAAGGCACTCTTTGTCCTTGGAGGGGTGATTCATCAGAGTCCGCCGTGGGGGCCTCTCTCACCCTGAGCCCACTGCCGACACCCGTGCTCGCAGGTCGGCGGAGTTCAGAGACTTCCTGAAGGTAGCCCTGGATAAGAACCCGGAGACCCGGCCCAATGCTGCGCAGCTGCTGGAGGTGAGTGCACCCCTCTTCTGGGGGCTGCCTGCGCCCTCCTCCCGCTTGTCCTCTGGAGGCGGACGGCAAGTCAGTACCTGGGGGCTGGCTGCCTTCCTCACCTGGCTCACACACCGGCCTGCCGGCTCAGTCAGTCCTGTGGTCGGGGTCCTGGGGGGACATGCACACAGGGTCATGAGGGCTTCACAGGACTTGGGCTCGTGCAGAAGGGGAGACAACGTCTGACTTTATTTGGAACCTGGGGACCTGAGCGTCATGGTAGCTGGCCACACAGCCCTAGTGTGCCCTTGAGTCTTTCAAATACAGCTGTGAGCTGCCTTTCCCTGGGCCAGTGCTGCAGCTTCTGGGGTAAGCACCAGTGGTCACACTGCCACCCCGCTGCCCCCCAGCCCCCCATCTGTCCGTCACTGTCCTCATGCCACCGCCACTGGTGGAAGACAGAGGGGAAGCGGGCCTAGATGATACAGAGGGGCTGCCCCTCTACTGCCCGGCGTGCTCTGGTGACCTGGATGAAATTCTTTTCCTAAGTCCACCCAGCTACCCACTGTGTGCCGGGCACTGGGCCTGAGGTTGCTTGACATTGGGCTTATAATGCATCCTTCTGGCTGTGGGCATCTTAGTGATTATAAGTATGATGTGTTCGGCTTCAGTTCCTAGAGGTTTCAGCCCATAGTTGGCTGGCTCCAAGGCAGGGATGGCAAACAGGTATCGAAGAGGAGAAACATGGCTGGCACAAGGCAGCAAAGGCAACAAGGGAGAGAGCTTTGCCGTGTCTTTCTGTGCCTCTCTTACCCCATCCGGACTACCAGGAGTAGGGTGATGGCAAAGCACTCATTCACGTGTAGTGGTTTAGTAATCACATGGCCTTAATCCCAGCATCACACATTCCAGATTCAGCTACCTCTGATCGAATGAGGCTATGGGGGGGACATCCAGACCCAAACCATAACATATGAACTGGGGTTGGAAAGTCCTGGGTTCAAATCCAGGTTCTGTCTCTTACTGGCTGTGAAATTTTGTTGTGGTGACTTGACCTCTCTGTGCCTTGGTTCCTGCTCTGAAGTGGGGATTAATAGCAATGGCCCATCACAGAGTGGTTGTAAGGGTTAAATGAGAAGATACTGTCGGGCACTTGGCTTAACTGTTAAGCATAGTGCTCAAGGAAGGTTCAAAATAGTGAACTTACTGTTTAAAAATGAAAAGGATTCAGGATGCAAAATGGGGCCTGTTTGTTAGAAGGTCCCAATTGTTCCTTTTGAGTTTCTCCAATCTGCTTAAAAGCAAATATCTGGAGTTCCAGACAGCCTCATTTTCTGGGTATTGTGGTGCTTGCTGGGGGTGGAGACTGCTGTCACTGTCAGATGCCAAAGCTCCAAGCCACTTGGGGCCAAATGTTTCCTGCAAGCTGGCTCCTCCTGCCCGATGCATCCGGCATGCAGGACATTCTGCAGGGAAGAGGCCAGCTGTCCTCAGCCCACTCAGCAGCCCCGGAGTCTCAGCCTGAGCCAGGAATTTCCACTCCATAGTTGGAAAAATGTCCTGCCAGGGGACTCTTAGCAGATGGCAGACAGTTGCAGGAGAGAGCAGAGATCTCTCCAGAACAATGAGACACCTTCAGAGCTTGTGCTGCCTCTAGCTTTTTCTGTGTGCCTTGCTGTTTCCGAGTTAGGGTGGGTGGGAACATTTACCCTGGAGGGATGAGAGAGCAGGAGGTGACTTGCCCAAGGTCACTGGCTTTGAGTGCCAAGGTGGGTACGATCTCCGCTGCCCAGCACCCACTCCCCAGCGATCCGTGCCCCAGCTTTGGCCCCCTGCCTCGTCTGTCTCCACGTGCCATAGCCTGAGTGACTCATGCCCCCAGGGGTTTCTGGTTCACTCATTTACTCCCACAGTTGCTCTGTGGACCAGTATCCTGCAGTCCTTAGTGACCAGGCACTGAAATCAGACAGGCCCACCCTGGATCTGAGATGTGGACAGCACTGGCTTCACGGAATGGTGCTGGCGAGTGTGATTCTGTATGTAACGTTTTTAGCGGCACTGCTGTCACACAGTAGGTGCTCGGAGGTGCTTGTTGAATGTTGTGAAACTCACCCATCTCACAACTGTCCTGGTCAAGGTCACTGCTGATTTCGGTGTCGCTGGACACTGTAATCAGCTCAAGCCCGGGTGCTCGTCCCCCAAGCTCTGAGCAGCATCAGCTCAATCGGCGTCCGTCCTTCCTCTCCGTGGACCTGCAGGCCCCGTGTGCACTCGGTCCCCTCCTCTGCTCCTCTTGCCCCAGCTGACGGAGGTGGCTGTCTGCCTGCGTCTCCCCTGTCGCCACTCACCCTGCCCGTGTCCTCCTCCCTCAGCCCGGCTGCTCCCTCTTCCAGGCTCTGGAGCGGGCGTTTCTCCCTGTCTCCCCTCGGGTCCAGTCGGTGTCTTGGACTGGCAATGGCCGCACAGCACCCACAGCTGTCCCGCTGTCTGCAGCAGCTTCACACCTCTGCCAGCTCAGGCCCCAGACCCTGCAGGGGTCCTTGCCCTCTCCCTCCTGCTCCATGTCCATTTGGGCAGGAATGCTGCTGCCTTGGCCTTAGGGGTGCGGCTGAAATGTGCCTGCGCCCCGCCTCCTCCATGACCGTTGCTGTCTGAGCTGCCGTCATGTGTCACTTCAGGGTGGCTTCCTCTTGGTCCCTCTCCTGTCTCTCCATCCGTCCTTAGTTTAGGCAGAGGAAAGCTTGGGAACATAACTCAGGTCATGTCCTTCCCTATCCATGCTCCTGAGTGGCTCCTGTCCCACTCAGAGTCAAGTGCAGAGCCTCTGTGACCTGTGAGGCTGTGACCTGTCCATCCTACTGACCTCTCCCCATCTCACCCTCACTCGCTCCAGCCACCCTGGCTATCTTGTTCTTCCAGCACACCAGGCACGCTCCTGCCACAGGGCCTTTGCACTGGCTGTCTGCTCTGCCTGGAAAGCTCTTCCCGGGAGACCTCCCCTAAAGACAGAGCTAGGATTCTCATCCTGGTGGTTTGGTTCCAAAGTCTGTGTGTTACCGACTCTGGTAAGCCACCTCTCCAAAGGAATAAAGAAGAGAAAGAAGGAACGGTAGAGAAAAGAGCGGGAGGGAAAAGCATTGGGCGGGAGAGAGGACTGAAGGAAAGGTGCTGGCACCTGAAACCCTGAGAGCACCATGAAACATTTTTCTGAAGCCAGTCTTGGAGTATTAAGGCCCCTGGCTGGTGATTTTTAAGCGCTCAGGGAAAATTGAAAATAGGCTCCGATTCTTTAAGAAAGGGTGTGTGTTTAGTTGGCAGGAGAGCGCCTGGCTCCGCGCCATGTGGTGCCATCCCCATATTGGCACCTTGGGGCTTCCAGTGGTGATGGCCCTGAGCAGCTGCCCCTCTTCCTGAGGGATGGTTGGTGGGCCAGCCCAGCTGGTCATTTGGAAAGGCTCCCTCCTTCCCTCGTGGCACTGCCCAGGCACTGTCTCTGAAGGGGCCTTGCTGCCATGGGGGCTGGAGGGAGAGGCTTCCCTGAGGACTTCTGGGGGCAGTGGAGCCAGTGCAGTGTGGAGCCCTGGCCATCAGTGCTGTGTGTCTCAGGAGCACCCTGCTTGCTGGCCCCATCCATGGCCATTTCTCCCACTGTCCCACTGCCTCCCAAGGACCATGGCATTCAAGGTGGACAGGGAGCCCATGGTTCTGCCTGCAGAAAGTGAGGCTCCTGGCCATGGCAAGCGGCCACTAACTTGGTCAGGCTGTGGAGGGCCCTGGTGCAAACTTGGTATTTCCCGAAGCCTGCGCTTTGTTGTTTATTTCTGCCAAGTCTGCTTCAGCTGCTGCAGCGAAGCGTCCCTTAGTGCCTTGCTCAGAGTCCCATGTGTGCAGTCACGCAGCATGGAGCTCAGGAACCGCTGGCATCTTGGGTCTCAGCCTCACCCCCAAAAGCTGTGCCCTGTGGATAGAAGAGTGGCCGAAAGGGGCTTCCTGGATTGTGCTGCTGCTTCTGCTGCTGGAGGTGCCGGGATGAGGGTGGTGACCGTCACTGGTGGATGGTGGGAGTGGTGATGATGGTGACAGTGACAGTGTGCTGCTGCTGTGCTGCTGGTGATGGTGACCACGACAGTGGTGATAATGTGGTCACTGCCCTATTTTGAGCACTTCTTCTGATACTTAGAATAGCCATACCCCTATTCTTACTGTACTGATGAGCAAACTGAGGCTCAGAGAGGTTTCATGACTTGCCCACGGTACTAATGGAAGCTGGATTTGTCCCTAGGTGGACTGGCTCTGCCACCCGTGATTAGTAAACCCTTACCAACACCCATTCAAGACCTCTTGAAACCACACAACAGCCAGTGTGACATCTTTAATAGACAATGGCAGCTTCTGATAATAAAGTCTCAGGTCCTCACCGGGACACAGGGGCCCTGCATGGACCACCCACCCTCCCTCTTCCTATCCTGGCTGCTCCCCAACCCTGGCCTCCCAGCACACGGAACCCAGTCCTACCTCAGGGCCTTTGCACATGCTGCTTTTGCTGCCTGGAACTCTCTGTGTTAGGCCACTCCCTGCTCTGTCCCTGCACATCCCTCAGGTCTGAGCTTTCTATGACCTCCTTAGGGAGGTACCTGGAGCCAGCACAGGTTTACCTGACCTCCACCATGGTTTTGTTGATCGTATGGTTCCATGCCTTCCGTCGCCCATTCCATCACGGGCTTATCTCAGCAGCTGGCACATTTCACATTTCTGGCCTCAGTATGTGGCTGTGGAATGAATGAGAAAGTGAGAGAGCAAGAAAATAAACTCATCACATCTTCACTAGTTTGGATGAACTAGAGAACACTAGACTGGGTTAAGAAAAGGTGAACAATGAGCTCTTTAGAAGCAGTGACATTTACAGCTCTCAGATGAGCAAGTTGAAGAGGGTATTGGTTGGTAGCCTTTTTTTTTTTTTTCAGTACTGGGGATCGAACTCAGGACCTTGTACTCACCAAAGCAGGCGACAGAACCACTGAGCTAAATCCCTGGCCCCGCTTGGTAGCCTTTTGCAAACGAACTTTTGCTTTTTTTTTTTTTTTTTACATTTGTGGTGCTAGGAATGGAACCCAGGGCCCTGTGCGTGCGCAAGGACTCTCCCACGGAGCACATTCTCAGCCCGCACAGTTTTAAATGAACAAACAGATAAGAATGATTTATGGTGAACATACCGGTTCCCAATATGTTTTTAAAGCGAGAGAAATTTATCCTTTAATCATGCAAACTTCCCCAGCAATCTTGTTGACATAGTTCTGCTGATAAAATTTCTGATAGTAAAGCTGTAAATTTCACCAGAGCCTCCTTATGAAATTTCAAATGAGCAAATTCCAACTTTGAGACTCCCTCATTTCTCGCCCTGACATTCCTTTCCCAGTGGCCCTGGGTGAGGGGTAGATGAAGGAATCCCATGCCCCGACCACACTCTGGTGCTAGGCTAAGGTGCCTGAAGATGGGCTTCTACCCACCTGGGGTGCCTGTGCGGATTTAACATCCCTCACACCTTTGCATTCACTTTTTAAAACTGCTGTTTCTGCGAATGTTTAGAATGGAACGTACACCACTCTGCCTCAAGATTTTGTGTTTCTTTTGTTAAAACCAAGCACATGTGTCCACTCGAAAGTGACATCATATACACTGCTGTTCACAGCAGCTTCACCTAGGGTCACCAGAAACAGGAAATGACCTATGAGTCCACCAGCAGCAAAATGAATAAACTGACTGTAACATATTCATGCAGTATAAGAAAGGAACTACTGGGCTGGGGATGGAGCTCAGTGGTAGAGCATGTGATTTCCTTCTTAGTGCGCACAACAGCCTGGGTTCAGTTGCCAGCATTGCATTGCGTGCCACACATACACACGCATGCATGCAAGAGTTTACCAAAGCTTCTGATAATGTGGGTGAGTCCCTCAAGCATGACTGTTAATGGCTTGTGTCTAGATGTCCCCCAAAGCCTCATGCAGTCAGAGGTGGGGGTTTTTCAGAGGTGGCTGGATCTAGAGTATGTGATGCTGGGATGATTCATGGTGCTATGCTAGGATCAAGGGCACTAGGATTGCAGGTGTGCTACCTGCCTTAATAGCCTGGATAAAGATGTAAGGGATAGAAAGCTGTGGTCATCCCTTGCTTGCTTTGCTACCTGCTGCCCACCACGAACTCTCTGCTCTGCGATGCCCCTCTGCCTTGGAGCCAGCCGATTATGGACTGAAACCTCTACAAACTGTGAACTAAATAAACCTTTCCTCCTTAACTTTGGATGTTGGGTATTTTGTCTGAGCAATGAGAAAACTAAGACAGTGAGGTTAAGCAAGAAAGCTAATACTAAAGACTTTTGTGTGCTATGACCCTGTGCACAGGAAGTGAAGGGCAGGCAGAACTCCTCTCTGGAGATCAACAGCCAGGGAGTGGGTGTATGCAAGCTGAGGCCAGGGAACTTTCTAGCATGATGGAAATTCTCTGTATCTTTTTTTGGCAGTACCAGGGATGGAACCTTTTGCACTGAGCTACATCTCCAACCCTGTTTGTTATTTTGAGACAAGGCCTTGCTAAGTATCCAGGCTGGGCTCAGACTTGCAGTCTTCCTGCTTCAGCCTCCCTCAGTACTGGGATTACAGGTGTGCACCACCAGGCCTGGCTGAAATGTCCTATATCTTTACCTGAGTGTTGGATAAATATGAAAAGTTATCAATCTTAACAATTTATGAGCTTTACTGCATGTCAATTATAACTCAATAAAATAAGATATGTATGTGGCATATCTGTAAAACTACATCAAAACCTTTTAAAAGGAAAATAAGTGTGCATTGCTTGAGCTCCCGCTTTGACCTCGGAGCTGTCGTGTGCATTTTCTCATTTCATCTTTGTGACCTCCACGTGCCATTGGCACTGTCTGCACTTCAGGGTCGGAGGGATTAAGTGACATGCTCAGGGTCACACAGCTGGTGAGCAGAAGAGCTAGGTTTTGCCTTCTTTCCACCACACACAAGACTGCTGAAATGCCTCTGGGTTCCCCTCTTCGAGTTTGTGTTCATATGTGTTGTGTGGGGCTACGTCTGGCCTTCTCTTCCCCAGCTCCCCCAGCTGCTGTTCTAACACAGATGTGTCTGCCTCCTCAGCACCCCTTTGTCAGCAGTGTCACCAGTAACAAGGCCCTGCGGGAGCTGGTGGCCGAGGCCAAGGCTGAGGTGATGGAGGAGGAGATTGAAGACGGCAGGGAAGAGGCAGAAGAGGAAGACACTGTGGAAGCCACCTCTGTAAGTGCAGAAAGTACAGAGGTCAGGAGGGCCGGGACCCAGCAGGTAATGGCTTGTGGAGGCCGAGACTGGAGCAGATTCCACTCTGCACCCTGCCCAGTTCAAAGGCTTAGATGCCCATGCTGCCAGTTATGTAAGAGGACGCACAGGGCAGGCTGAGGCCGCAGGGATGTTGGCCGGATCCTGAACATTTCAGGGGAGCCTAGGAATCTAGATTCTCACATGAAACCTTCCCATTTATAAAAGTCAGTATCTGAGCCATTGGTTCGCAGACTTTTCTCTCATGTGGCTCACGTGGATGTGTGTTGCACACTTTGGGATAAACAGGTGCGGCAGCATATGGTCAGAGGCGACCAGCCAAGGGGCTGCAGCCACCCAGACCCCATCTGGCTGCTCCAAGTGTCGGGAGACCGGTGACTCAGGGTGTTTGTAAGCCATTTGCAGCTCCAGCACTTGCTGAATTTAATTAGAAATAGCAAATTTCAATTGATAAAAATCATTTGAGCCAAGCCCGACATGTCTGGGCTGGAGCCTGTTCTAGCTCCTGGTCATGCTTTTTAGGGAAGCTCCTTCCAGGGCACTGGCTGTCTAGATTTTCTGTGTACCTAGGGAAGCAGGGCTGGACTTGCCCATCGGCACTGGTGGCCCACATCTGCTTGCTGGGGATGATGTAGCTTTCTCATATTTAATTTGGTCCTGGGAGGGAGCCTGAGGCCGATGTGGACCCTCCCCGCCCCAGGGATGAAGAAAATTTGTGAGGAGGTGAGTGGGATCCTGCAAGCCGTGGAGCCCCATGCCTCCACCTTCCAGTGCGAAAGCTGAGGTCTGGGCTGTGAGATTCCTAGCTAGATGAGCAGATGTGGCCAAGGAGTAGGGGAACTGCAGCAGATCTGGCTCTAAAAGGGGAGCCATACTGGTGACGCTGCTGCTGAAGGGGTGGGAGGGAAGACATAGTCATGCCCAGCCTTGTTCTCCACAGGCAGGAAGCTGATCTTCGTCCTGAGGACAGTGGGAACCATGGAAGCCTTAAGACAGGGGCCGGGTATTAATGTGAATATGACAGATCTAAATTTTCGAACTATTGCCCTGGGTGTTGAATAGAAAGTAGATTGGAGTTTTTTCTGCTACTCACTCTGTGGACAGTCAAAAACAGAGGCTGGCATGACTCAAAAGAATGTTTAATATGATTCCATTGAAACCCAGTTGATAACTGGCAGACTGACTGCACAGGCAGACACTTAGGGAGCATAGTGAAGACAGGGGCTGTGCTAAGGGAGGGGGAAGATTGCCACTAAGACGGGTGGGGTGGGGGACACAGCAAGATGCCCCCCTTACCTGGAAAGTGGCTATGTGGCACTCAATTTGTTCATCAAGCTGGACATTTATTTCACTTACTTTTCAGTATTTGAGAAATGAGAGAGTCTCGCCACAGGGGGGCAGGGAGGGTACATTTTCCCACATTGTCACACATGGAAGAGCAGAGTAGCCACTGGGCCCTTCCAGCAGGTCTGTTGCCTCTGCTCCTAGAAGGAATAGCAGCTATTAATTTAAGCTAAGATTAGAGATGGTCTGGAGATTGCTATCCTCCAACTAAATAGTAGTCTCACATACAAGATTGTATGTTGTTGAATATTATAGTATAGTATGTTATCAGTGAGGCAGTAGGGGGTGGTGGAGACTGTGGCTTAGAGTGTTTCTCCCTTTACTGTCCCACCCCTACCTCCACACCCAGGCACTGCCCCATCACTGGGACTTTCTGACTTTCAGCCCCACTGTGTCTCTGACTGTCACATTGGACAGACAGCAGACAGCAGCAGGGCCTCTTTTTTTTTTTTTTTTCCAGGCTGTTGGGAGCCACACTCAGGACTCTTCTGAGGCAAATCAGCTGAGCCTCAATGCCAACAAACTTCCGCAGGAACCTTCTACACCGCTACTACCCAGCCAGCCTCAGGACAGTGTGAATGGGACCTGCAGCCAGCTCTCCGGGGACAGATCCCTCCAATCCACCGGCCCCCAAGATGGAGCCCCTGCAAGTGAGAACGGCCTAGCCATGCCTGTTCCCCTTCGGAAGTCCCGGCCAGTGTCAATGGATGCCAGAATTCAGGTCACTGAGGAGAAACAAGTCACTGACCAGGCCGAGGCCCTCAGTCCTGCAGCCAGGTCCCAAAAGACAAGCCAGAGCCGGCCCAACAGCAGCGCCCTGGAGACCTTGGGCAGCGAGAAACTGGTCAATGGCAGCCTGGAGCTCCCCACCCAGGCTGTGCCAGGGCCTTCCAAGAGGGCCTCAGACTCTGGCAGCCTGTCCACCTCCGAGAGCATGGACTATGGCTCCTCCCTGTCTGCTGACCTGTCCCTGAACAGAGAGTCAGGGTCGCTGTCCCTCAAGGTAATGCCACCTACTGCGCCACCAGCTCAGAGCCCGAGTGTTTCAGGACATGCTGCCACTCGGGGTTGGCTTGAAATCATTTATTGGCTGCCTTCTGTGCACCTCGGTGGGCTGCACTGTAGGGATTCAGTACATCTATTCAGTGTGCACTGAGCAATCTGGATAGTAAGTGTGTCCATCTTCTGGTCATTTCTTTGTGTTTGAAACCTTCGAGGGCCAAGGATTTTAGCTCAGTGGTTCCACCACCTGCCTTGCAAGTGCAAAGTACAGAGTTCGATCCCTGGTACCAAAAAAAGAAAAAAACCTTTGAACTCTTCTTGTTCTTTATAAAATATAGAGTAGGTTGTGATAAACTGTAGTCATCCAACTGTGGACAGCAGCTTTTATGTAGAAGCATTGTGTTCCTTAGAACAGAAGTCTTGTCCTTCCTTACCCTAAAAAGATACTTAAAAGATTAAAAAAAGGCTTACCCACCCAGAGCAGGGCCTCCCCCGCCTCTCCTCAAGGTATTGAGAGCATTCTTGGCTGGCTGCTGTGAATTGGGGAACACAGGCTGTCCTGGGAAGGGTCCCCAGGCTGCGGCAGTGCCTCTGGCCTAGCCAGGAGCCTGTGACCAGGAGTACTTTTCACATGTGGGTTTTGGCTTTGACTTACCTCCTTTCTGTGCCCTCCCTCCTGCTCCCCTTATTTCCCACTGGTGTCCTGACATGTCTTAAGTCCTCCAGTGTGTGCTGACCACTTCTGAGAGATCAGGGTTGGGCAGGCTCAGTGACGGCGAACCTATTAGAGACTGAGTACCCAAACTGAACCCCAAATCCACTTACTTATCGCAAAGTGCCAGCATTGCAGTTCAAACCTGAATGCTGAGGTTTTAATTTAGAAAAAACCAACTGTTATCTGATGCTTGGCTGCTGGGGTGGCTTGGCTTACATGCCCACAGAGAGGGTTCTGTGTGCCTGCTGCAGCACTTGTGCTGTAGGTTTGCCACCCCTGGGCGGCTGGTCCTCTGCCTCTGCCATCCAGAGCACCAGGCTAAGTGTGCCGGAGAAGTGCACAGGACTGAGGGGCCGGGCCGGAAGGGAGGAAGACCCGCCTCCAGGTCCGCACTCAGCAGGAGGGAGCTCAGCTAGGACGTGAGAACCACTTACTCAGCTCACAGTGGCTGGCAGACCCCTGGGTGGACTGTGTTGCAAAGGCTGGGCTCAGCTGCCCCAGGAAGGGCATCAGAACTCAGCAGAGAGGGCAGAGGCAAGGGCAGGAGAGAGGTCAGGAGGAAGCCAGTGCAGGCCCCAGTCCTCATCCAAACCAGAACTATACTGTGCTCTTCCAAAGGTACAGTGCCTTGTGCCATACCAGTGTGACACCGCCTGGTGTCGGGGCAGCACCCTAAGCAAGTGCGTGTGAAATGCGTAGTTATTCACAGTAAAAGATAAAGGAGTAATCCTGCAGCAGTTCCCTACAGGTGTGGCTGCCCACAGAGTTCAGGCCAGGTCATGTAGGCTGCCAACTCCACTACAAAAACAACCTTTGGTTTTTCAGGGCTCCTTTGGATTTTGGCATTGCAGACAAGGGGCTGTGGTCTGCCAAAACCGAATAGCAAATATTGAACTTTACTGTGATCTGGGCCTTGCCCTGTGTGCCCCTGCATAGGCGCTTACCACATTTTGTAACCTCCCTGGGAGGTGAAGACTGCTTTTATCTCCTTGGACAGTGGAGGAAGCTGAGCCTTAGGCAGAGACTTGCCCAGGGCTGCAGAGCCAGCTAGTGGTGCACTGAAGATTAAGACTCAGCTCTTTCTTATATCACACCCTGTGCTTTAGAGAGGGCTGGCAGCAAGCTGAAGGGGGACTGAGTGCAGTACCTGAAGGCTGAGATCAGGGGCAGGAAGGGCCCTGGCACTTAGTTCCCCGGGTCTCGAAGCTTGGGATGAGAAGGACTGTGGATAGCCATGTTCTGCTTGAACCATGGCTGTAGGGCCAGGAGGGCTGTGGGTTGTGTTGGCCTTGGATTCTTGGCTGAGATGCTGAGCTTTGCCTCATGTTTTCCTTGGTCAGGACTCCAGGCTGCACAACAAAACCCTGAAGCGGACCCGCAAATTTGTGGTGGATGGTGTAGAGGTGAGCATCACCACCTCCAAGATCATCAGTGAAGATGAGAAGAAGGACGAGGAGATGAGATTCCTCAGGCAAGCCTGGGAAGGACACTGATGGTGGGGAAGGATAGGGGTGCAGTGAAAGAGGTTGGGCAGTGGTCCTTTGGGTGAGAGAGCTGTTGGTCTGTAGTATGAAATGGGCAAATAACGGAGACAGAGGAAACTGGTTTTGCTTAAGATCCTACGTTTCTCCATCCAGCCAACCACCCACCTACCTATCCATCCGTCTGTCTGTCCATCCACCCATCTACCCATCCACCCATCCATCCAACCATCCATCCATCTGTTCATCCATTCTGTCTACCCACCTACTTATCTCTTCATGCAGCCATAACCCATTAACCCAACCACTCATCTGTTCCACTTATGTATTCATCCATCCACCCATCCATCTACCCACCCACCTAACTAATCATATATCTACCTATCCATCTGTCCACACAATTACCCACCCAGGCATACATCCATCCGTCTGTCCATTTATTCATCCACTTACTATCCATGCTTCCATCCACTTACCCATGTTTACACCCATCCACCCATCTGTCCATCCAATCACTCATTTTTCATCTGTCCATTCATCCATGCAACTCTTCAACCACTTATTATCTGTCTGTTCATCTGTCCATTTAAACATCCATCCATCTACTTACCCCTCCACACATCTACCCATCATCTGTCTACCCACCCACCAGGTGGGGATAGGGTAGTAACCCATATAAGTGAGGCTGTTGCCCTTGTAGAACTTACATCTAATAGGCTAACACACAAGACACAAAATAAGTCTTAACCTGTGACACAGTACATGAAGTAATGGGTGATACAATAGGAAGCACCTGGTTGGGGAGGGGCTGCTCCCAGAGAACCCCCTGAGCTGAGGTCAAGGGGTGAGACAAGCCAGCTACGTGCAGAGCTGGGGAGCTGTAACGGCTGAGGCCCTGAAGGGGTGACTCCTCAGCTGTTTCAGGATCTGAGAGGACAGGGCTGGAGTGTGGAACATCAGGGCAGAGGGAGAGGCTCTACGGCCTTTGGGTTGGCAAGACCCTAGTCACATAGGCCTGTGAGCCAGGGTGGAAGATACATTGTTCCAGCTGTAGCAGGAGGGAAATGGCTAGGGAGTGACCAGCTCTCACATCCCTTTGGAAGGTTGCTTGGGCTGCTGTAGAGGTGACAAGAGTCGAGCAGGGAGATGGGGCCACCCCATGCAGGACAGTCAGGTTCTGGGCTCAAGCTACGATGATGGTGGGAGGCAGGGGTCAGATACAATAGGTACTCTGGAGGCAAACTAGTGTGGCTGATGAGGGTTGGACTGAGGGACGAGGTGGGAGGCAAAGCTATTGGCCAGAAACTACTTGGAAGTTTTCAGTTACTCAGTGCTCCTAAGAGCCCGCTACAGGGAGACCCTGTTTGCACATTGTGTAAATGGGGAAACTTATTGGCAAGTGAGTCACGTGCCTTGGGTCTCCCAGGTGGAAAGGGGTGGCGTTGAGAGGGCACGTAGGTCTGTGAGTCTGAGAATTCCTGCAGGTTTCCACTGGACCACATGGCTGCCGAGGGCTGCTGGAGTGAGCAGTTAGAGAACCTCAGAAGCATGGAGCTCCCTTGAGATCAGACTTTGCAGGCTAAATTCATTCATTACTGGTTTGAAGAAAATGTCTAGCTCATCAGACACATTCATATGTTTTGTTTTGTTTTGGTACCGGGGATCAAACTTGGGACCTTGCACTTGCGAGGCAGGGGGCAGAACCACTGAGCTAAATCCCCAGCCCGATACATTTATATGTTTTAAAAGCATAAACGTTCTAGAGTCCAATAGAAGGAGTTTGGGATCTTAGCGGGGTGGGTGTGCTTCTCCCATCTTGGAGCCAGGAGGATGAGACTGTTAGTGGCATGTCTGTGCACATGTGTGAGTTCACACGCACACCCACAAACACAGACACACACACATTAATGTTCATATCTGTATGAGCTGGAGAGGCTGGGGCCTCTTGGTAGATGACAGCCCTGGACTCTTCAAGTTTCAGACCTCCTAGGCTGGGTTTCCGACACAGTTCCTGTCCCTTGGATTAAAGTTCCCAGGTGGCCACACTCCACACAGAAGCAGCGTGCTCTGGCCTGGTAGTGGACTCTCACTCTTCTGAAAAGAGCTTGTGTGTGCCACTCAGGTGTGGAAGGGGAGGCTGCAGCAGCATGGATGGCCCCGATTGGTCCCCTGTGATGCAGGCCTGGGGCACACCTGGGCCTCAGCATTTCTGTCGGATTAGGAGCTGTATACTGAATGTTGAGGGCCTCCTGTTTCTTCCTTCCTCTGGCGTCAGGCCACTGTGAGAATCAGCTGCCACCTTCTCTCTGTCATCCTGTGTTTGAACCTTTGTTTCCTTGAGTCAGGATTCTCATTTCTTTAACTCTGGAAAATCACCCTGACCTTCTTGGTTTGCAGAAAAATACATGCTCAGAAAGAATTCCTTACGTGACTGTGGAAAGCCTCCCTGGCATTTCCCAAACACACAGGAAGCCATTGCATCTTCCACTTCATTATTGCTGGAGCACTTGCCACATACGAGCTGTTTGTCATGTGCCGTGCAGGCCCTGTCCATGCAGCATCTCATTTAACACACCAAAACCCCAAGATTTAGAGACTATTTGCCTCATTTTACAGGCTAGGGACCTGCGGCCTGCCCAGACTCACAGGGCTTTTGCTGGAAAGTCAACAGAGCTGAGATTCAAACAAGGTCCCTCTGGCCCCAGAGAATGTGCTCAGCCACACTGCACTGCCAGCCTCTCCTCACCCGGCTGCTGGGTGCGGGTCCTGGGAGCTGTTCAGCGCCTCAGAGCAGGGCCAAGTCACATGCAGAACCACCACATGCAGGCTATGGAAGCTGGACTGTAATAGGGTACAGGTCTCGTGTGCCCCAATTCCAAGAGGCCACCAGGGAGCCCAGAGCTCACAGTCAGGCTACCCAAGGTTTTCCTGCAGCATTTTATTATTTTATTACATAAATGATGCATTTCAGTGTTTGCTGGACCTCCCCAGAAAGAAGCGTGATTAATTAACATCTGTGGGTCTACTTGGTGGTCTTTTCTCTGAGTAAACACACACGCACACACACACACACACACACACACACACACACAAATAAAAAGCATCTGTGTTGCAATATCGTGGCTTAGGTCAGATATTTGTTGTATTTTTTAAATGTCATGATTCAAAAACTTGTTTAGAAAGTGAAAAAATCTTTTCTGTCAGGTACCCAGTTGTGCAGTTCCCCTTCCTTTGTTTTTTTATTTGTTTAGTTTTTGGTTTTTTACAGCGCTAGAGATTGAACCCAAGGTTTTCACACTGAGCTACATCACTACCCCTTTTTAAAACATATTTTATTTTGAGGAAGGGTCCCCTTGAGCCCTTACCTAGGCTGGGCTCAAACTTGGAACCCTCTTGCCTCGGGCCCCTGGGTAACTGTGGTGCAGACAGGGACCACCATACCACTCTTCAACGTCTTACTGTTTTCACTTAGAGATCTTTTTTTTTTTGGTACCGGGGATCGAACTCTGGTCCTTGCGCTTGCAAGGCAGGCACCGGAACCACTGAGCTAAATCCCCTGCCCACTTAGAGATCTTTCTATGTCTTGTCTAATGAGCTTTTTATTTTTCACAGATGTTTTCCCCTGTAAGTACATGTTTTCTAAAACTTGATGTTTTCATGTTTATATATAATTTCATTGTATAGATATATTTTACTGGGCCGGGGATTTAGCTCAGTGGTTCCGGCACCTGCCTTGCAAGCGCAAGGTCCTGAGTTCGATCCCTGGTACCAAAAAAAAAAAGTGTCTAGATATATTTTATTTAATTATACCTATATTGTTAGACATTTGTTTATAACTTAGTGCTATAGTCAGCCCTTTCCCCCCACACACCCTGTAGCCTTGGGTTCCACGTCTGTGGATTCATCCAATCACTGATTGAAAATATTAGGGGGAACACCACCTGTACTGAACATGTACAAACCTTTTTCTTGTCATTATTGCCTACTGGCAGTGGTTTATGTAGTATTTGGATCGTTATTAGGTATTATAAATCATCTACAGATGACTTAAGGTATACAGGAAGATTGTATGGGTTCCAGGCAGTACTACACCATTTTGTGTAAGGGACTTGAGTGTCTGTGGCTTTTAGTCTCTGGGGAATGGCCTAGAACTAATCCCCAGAGGAGTGGAGGGACCAGTTTATCTAAATAACATTATGACACACATTCTTTTTTTGTTTTGTTTTGGTTGTTTTTGGTACTGGGGATCGAACTCAAGTCCTTGCGCTTGCATAGCAGGCATTGAAACCACTGAGCTAAATCCCCGGCCCATGACACACATTCTTAATTCAGAAGTGGAACTACTAAGTCAGAAAGCATAAACTTACTGCCACATTGTCCTTCAGAACTGTACCGATTTATATCTATCAGTGGTATATGAAAGTATCAATTTCCCTTCTTACTCCCGCCTGTTGAGCCCATGTAAATGTCATTTCATTTTAATTTACATTTTCTACCCATATGGATAATTTTAAATTTTCTTTTTGTTTTTTCTTTCATGTCTGTTCATGTTTGGTGCTGCTTTTTTGGGAGAGTATTCCTCCTTTTCTTCCTGATCCATAAGCACCCTGTATATACTGAGGTTGTTCATGTTGTGTTTGTCAATGAATGTCTAATGAAGCTCGAGTTCCAGTCGTGCCTCTGCCTAAGATTTCTGTAGTTGTTTCATGATTCGATCCTCACTGTCCCACGCTGTGGATACCGTGATCCCAGGGGAATGGTCTCCCTATGAACTCTATGCATCCTTTCATCCTTCAGGCGCCAGGAACTTAGAGAGCTTCGGCTGCTCCAGAAAGAAGAGCATCGAAATCAGACCCAGCTGAGCAATAAACATGAGCTGCAGGTGGAACAGATGCACAAACGTTTTGAACAAGAAATCAATGTGAGTGTGGGAAACAGTGGGACCTTGGAGGGCTTCTGCCTCTTTTCTTTTAGTGGCAGTTGCAGAGGGGGAGGATCAAGGCCATGGAGAGTGACCCACAACTATTGCTGGTTTCCTGGGGTCTCCCCATCTCATCAGGCAGGAACTTGAAAGCACAGCATGAAGGTCACAGTGACCTGCTGAGTCACAGAGGAGCATTTCAGGGCTTGGAATTTAGCTTAGTGGATCTGGCGCCTGCCTCGCAAGCACAAGGTCCTGAGTTCGATCCCTGGTACCAAAAAAAAAAGAGAAAACAGAGGAGTATTTCTAGGAGGAAATCATGCCAACCGTCAAGGTCAATGGTCCGGTCGCCTTTGTGCAGTTGAGGAAATTCAGACTCACAGAAGTGAAGTGATTTGTCCCAGGTCTTAGCACAAGCTCTGATCTCTCTCCATCATCCCAAGTGGAAAGTGGCTTTGCTGAATTTCTCCTAATGTTTGCTCCTTCCAGGCCAAGAAGAAATTCTTTGACACAGAGCTGGAGAACCTGGAGCGGCAGCAGAAGCAGCAGGTAGAGAAGATGGAGCAAGACCATGCCGTGCGGCGCCGGGAAGAGGCCAAGCGGATCCGCCTGGAGCAAGAGCGGGACTACGCCAAGTTCCAAGAGCAGCTCAGACTGATGAAGAAAGAGGTGACTGTGCTGGCTGGGCAGGGGCTTCTAGGAGTGTTAAGGCCCCCATCAGTTGCAAGGGATGGAAGGAAAGCTCAGTCCGGTGTCTCCTCGAAACACGGGGCTCAGGAACGAGGAGGCAGCCTGTCTGGATGTGTGTGCTCCACCGCACCGTGAGGAGCCCTTCTCCATCTCTGGGGCTCTGCTTTCCTCCCTGCTGGCTCTGTGCTAAGAGGGCAAGGAAGAAGGGAGCAGTAGTGGTGCTCCCACATTGGAGATGCTGTTACCAGGAGAAGCAGGTGCAGGAAGGGCCTGCGCCGTGTCCTCTGTGCTCTGGCCTCTCCTGCTTCTCCGCCGCCTCCTCCCCTGGTGAGAAGGGAGAGATGAGGGGGCTGGGAATATAGTTGTGTCACCGTGCCTGCCTGGCAAGCATAAGGTCCTGAGTCCGATCCCCAGTACCGGAGCAAGGGGGAGGTGGCAGGGAGGTGGGTGGTCCAGAGGCATCTCTCAGCTTGCCCCACAGCAGCACCTCTGGGTATCAAGGAACAGCCCACACCTCCCTCCAGGGAGGGGCTGGGGGCCTGGGACATCCCTCTTAGCCTCTCACGAAGAAGGTGGAAGCCCCCATGACAGATAACCCAGTGTCCAGCTAAGAGCAGTGGGTGACCAGCCTTCATTGCTGGGCCACTACACTGGGGGCCCTAGAGCATGTTACCTGTGTGACAGTTGGTGCTGCCCTCAGGGATCAGGTGGATTCCTTTGGGAGCCAGGGTCACTGACCACTGACCAACTGAGCCAAGCCAGGGCTGGCCTGAGACTTGGCTCAGGCGTAACATTTAAGGGACCAAAAAACTCAGCAGTCAGGGTTGGGGTGCAGCTTTGTGGAGCAAGGCCCTGGGTCTGATCCCCAACACCACACACACACAAAACTCTACCAAAAATACAGAACTTGGTAATCAAGATAAAAAAACAAAGTAAGTTGGGCATGGTGGTACATACCTGTAAGCCAAGCTACCTGGGAGACTGAGCACAAGTTCGAGGACAACTACTGAGACCCTATCGGAAAATGAAACAAAGAGGTGGGGATCTAGTTTAGCGGTAAAATGCTTTTCTAGAATACACAAGTCCCTGGAATAAATCACCAGCTTAAGAAAAATAAACTCTTATGCAATGAATGCAAATAAATTCATGAACAGGATATCAGCAGTTAGGATAAAGATAGGATTTGAGAGGGCTAGGATTAGGATGAACTCTGAGACTGGATCCTCTAAGTGCAAAGCTGGATTCTGTCTTGATACACAGCATAGGCATTTTGTTCATGAATTTTTTGTATGAATTTTGATATGTTTTGGGGGTTTTTTTGTATCGAACTCAGGACCTTGCACTTGCGAGGCAGGTGCAGCACCACTGAGCTAAATCCCGGGCCCCCATGATGTGTTTTAATGTTATTTATCTTGGTGGCTGTTTTTTGATGTCCCCTTCAATTTTTTGCACCTCCTTCACTCTGATCCCTGCCTTCCTGCAGAGAGGTGGGCAAGTGGGGTGGGGCACATGGGGGTGGAGGAGAGGAGCTGACCCTAAGCACGGGCCCAGCCCCTACACAGAGAGCACAGAATTGGGAATCAGGCCTGGTTTCCAGTGTTGGCTCTCAGGCCTCTCTAGCATTCTGACCTAGGACAAGCCATTGCCCCGACTCCCAGCTGCCCTCTGTCAAAGGAGTTAATCAGTAACATATGTACTGAGTATATGGCACTGTGCTGAGTACCCGGATGCTGCAGTGAACAAAACAGACAGGGTGCCTACCTCAAGGAACCAGGAATCTGTGGGAGAGTCAGAAAGTGAGTCACACCATCAAATAAATGAAACAGTTGTCAACATGCTGTGAACGTAAACTGACTTGTTAACTAGAGTGGTGTGGGGAGGCCTTTCAAAATAAAATTTTTAATAAAGGAGGTGCTGGGGCTGGGGATTTAGCTCAGTGGTCCTGCCACCTGCCCTGCAGGCGCAAGGACCTGAGTTCAATCCCTGGTGCAAAAAAATAAATAAATAAAATAAAATAAAAATGGAGGTGCTGGGAATGGAGTTCAGTGGTGACATACTTAAGCTGAGACCAGAACATTTCAGGAAGGGGAGGTGGCATGTGCAAAGGCCCTGTAGTACAGGGGAGAACTTGGAGTGGAGTATTTGAAGGAACTGAAGAGTGGTCAGTGTTACAAGAGCTTAAGAAATGAAAAGGAAAGTGGCAGGAGATGAAGCTGGACGGTTATACAGAGGCCACACCATGTAGGGTAGAGGGCCATGAACAGAACAGAGTCTGCTATTTGATTAATTGTTGTGAGCATCCATTCCTCACACAGAGGTTTTGCGCCTGGACCCAGTACCTGCCCCGGAATAAATGCCAGTCCCCTCCTTGTCTCTACCTCATTACATTCACACATTTTTTTGTGTCTATGTAGAAGAAATTGTAAGAGTTAGAAAGAGAAGGTGCCTCAGAGCAGGGTAGGGTCAGCGGAAGCCTCTCAGCTACCCTTCCTTGAGCAGAGCCTGCCCTTAACAAAGATGGCCTCTCTCCTTAGCGGATTCCAGTAAGTCCTGAACTCAGGCAGTGTGTGGAATCTGTTACTTGAGTTCCTGCTCCAACTCAAGTTTTGCTTCGTTTTTGTGGTGCTGGAGATCACACTCAGAGATTTGCCTCATGCATGCCAGGCAATAAATGCTCTACCACTGAGATTCACCCCAGCCCCAGATTCAGTTTTTAACACCCTCCCAATGGTGTTTTTCTTTAAAAAGTTTTCATGACAGAAGGCTTGACTTCTTTGCATTTTTTGGCTTTTTGAGAGGGATGTGGCTCTTGCCCTTTAGTAAGATCATGTCCCTGTTACTCTTCTGTGCAGCCAGCTTGCTTGGACTCTGTGAATCATTTATTTAACAGAGCTGCTTGTTTTAATTCATGGCGGAGCCAAGCAAAATGTAAGCTTGCATTTACTCTTGCTCTCAGAGCTAATTGTTGGGCTTTCATGACTTAATTTGTTAAACATGCAGTTACTCCTCAGTATTCTCTGGGGAATTGGTTCCAGGACCTTCCACGGGTACCAGAATTCAAGGAGGCTCAGTTCTGTGTATAAAATGGAGTAGTAGTGTTTGCATGTAACCCTTGTACATCCTCCTGTATACTTTAAGTCATCTGTGGATTACTTCTAAGCATCAACACAATGTAAATGCTATGAAAATAGTTGTTATACTACTGTATTGTTTAGGGAATCATGACAAGAAAAAACTGCCTACATGCTCAGGGTGGTTTTTCCCGAGTATTTTCAATCTGTAGTTCTCATAATGATGAAACACCTAGTGGGATGTTTCTCAGAATGTGTACCTGTTGTTAAGCAATGCATGACTGTGTTTGTTAAATACTTCCGAGCTCCATAGCACTGAAGAATTGTCTGCCTGTGGAAGTTTTAGTTAAGAGCTAGCTTGTTTGTCGTGTTGAAAAAAATGGGAAACTAACAAGCTGAATGTGTCGATGGCCAGGAATGCAGGTTATCTGACATTGAGTAGAACGAGTTCCCCTTCCCCTGGCTCCCTTTCCAGATGTCAGCTGGAGAGCAGTGCTGGGACAGACTGTCCCCAGGGCTTGCTGACACGTGTGAGCCTTTGTGCCCCTTTGCTAAGTGGCCCCACATGACACTGCTTTTGCTTCCTCCCTGCACTGCCAGAGTAACATTTTTTTAGTGTTTTCAGTGACATTAACAGAAAACTCTCAATCCTTTCCTCAGCTGCTGCTTCTAATCCTCTGTCCTGGAGAACAGAGTGACCAAGCTTGTAAATGCACAGTGCTAAGCCATGAGGCTTCTGGTGGCCTGTTGCCCCAGATGGCACTGTCAGAATGCCACAGAGAGCTGCTAAATTAAGGTTAGATGCCAGAACCAAGGCAGCCCTTTGATACAGAAGCAGCGGTTGGACAAATAAGATTTTTGAGATTTTTGCTGGGGGACTTTTATCTAGGACATTGATTCGCAGGCAGGGACTCTCTTGCCAGTATTCTCAGTCTATAACTTGTCTTGCAAGTCTAATAGTGTCTTGCATATAGAAGTACTTAATTTTAGTAAAATCCAACAACTGGCTATCTTTTTTTTTTCAGGGATCATGCTTTTGTGTTATATCTAAGAAATCTTTGCCTAATCCAAGGTGAAATGTCTTTTAGAGGTTTACAATTTTAGGTTCTACATGTAGATGTATAAACTCATTTTGAGTTAATTTTACAGGCGTGAGATATGGGTGAGGCTCACTGTTTTTTCTATATAGAAAGCTTGAAGACAAACAGGGTATTTCTTCCTTTTTGGTTTATACACTTACCATTTTGTATTGCTTTATTGTGCTGGCCAGGGCTTTCAGTAGGATGTTAAATAAAAATAGTAGAGTAGATATCCTTGCTTTGCTCCCACTCTTTTTTTATTTTTGGGAGGGACACCAGGGATTGAACTCAGGACCTTGGGCTTGTGCGGCAGGCATGGAGCCACTGAGCTACATCCTCGGCCCCCTCCCAGTCTTTAAGGTGAAATCATTGAGTATTTCATCAGTTTGTATAAGCTTTTTTATAGATGCCCCCTACCTAAAGAAGTTTCTGTTCCTACTTTGCTGAAAATTTTATCATGAAAAGATGTTGAATTTTGTTAAATGGTTTTCTTTTTTTTTGGTACCGGGGATCGAACTCGGGTCCTTGTGCTTGCGCAGCAGGCGGTGAAATCACTGAGCTAAATCCCTGGCCCTAAATGGTTTTCGCATCAGTTGACATATATGATTTTTCTTCTTCAGTCTGCTGATACTATGAATTATGTTGTTCGATTTTCAAATATTGAACTAGCTTTGCATTCTTGGGCTAAAACCCATTTGGCCATTATTTATTTTTCATTTCATATATTGCTAGGTTCAATTTGCTGATATTTTGGAAAGACTTGTTTTTCTCAGTACTGGGAATGGAACCCAGGACCTCGTGCACACTAAGAAAATGCTCTGCTGAGCTACAGCCCCAGCCCTGGAAAAGATGTTTGTGTCTATATTCAAGAAGGAGATTAGTCTGTGGCTTTCTTGTAATGTCTGTCTGGTTTTAGTTATCTATTCTTCTTGGGGAAGCTTTGATGGTTTCTTTCAAGGAATTTGTTCATTTATGTATTTGAGCTTATTTGCATAAAAATGTTCATAGTATTTCTTTAGTATTTTATTTTTATGATTTTTTTTTTTCAGTACCAGGAATCTAGCTCAGGACCTTGCACTTGCTAGGCAGGCACAGTGCCACTGAGTCTACATCCCCAGCCCCTTAGTATCATTTTAATGCCTGTAGGATCTGTAGTGCTGTCCTCTTTTTCATGCACCATTTTGGTAATCTGTGGTGTTGTCCTCTCCTCTCCTCCTTTTTCCCGTCCTCCTCTTCCCTTTGCACTCTTCCTTCTCTGTTGAGCTGAGTAAAGGTTTAATTTTATCGACTCTTTCTAAGAACCAGCTTTTTGTTTAATTGATTTTCTCTATTGATTTTCTGTTTTCAGTGATAATGATTTCTGCTTTTATATTTGACTTGGGTTTAAATTGCTTTTATTTATTTTTTCTTTCTTTTAGTACTAGGATTGAACCTAGGGCCTCATGCGTGTTAGGCAAGAACTGTAAGGCTGATCCACATCCCCAGCTTATTCTATAAATTTTTATGTGTTGTATTTTCACTTTTATTCAATTTGAATTATTTTTTAATATACTTTGTAACTTCCTCTTTGATCTATGGCTTATTTAGAAGTTCATTGTTTAATTTAAAAATATTTCAGACTGTCCTCCCTTTTTGTTTTTTTACTTCTAGTTTAATTTCATTATGGTCAAATAATATTTTTTAATATTTTAATTTTTAAAAATTTGTTAAGATCTGTTTTATGGCTCAGAATATGGTGCATGTTAATGAATGATCCATGTGTACTTGAAAAGGGTGCCTATTCTGCCCACTGGGTAGAGTGCTCTAGAAACATCAGGCAGATCAAGTTGACTGAGAGAATTTTTCAGGTTTTCAGCAGACTTACTAGTTTTCCATCCACTCATTCTCTTCACTTACGGAAAAAGGAGTGTTAATGTCTTCAGCTATAATTATGGATTTATCTAGAGCTGGGCATGGTGGCTCACACCTGTGATCCCGGCACTTGAGAGGCCAAGGTAGGAGGATCACTGCGAGTTTGAGGCCAGCCTGGACTACATAGGGAGACCCTGTCTCAAAAAACAAAAAAACAAAAAATTAAATTATGGATTTATCTACTTTCTTATTTCTATTAGTTTGTTTCATGTTTTTGAAATTATTTTGTTATTTAAAATGATCACATCTTCTCAGTAAACTGACCTCTCCTTTTGTCATTGTGCAGTGTGTCTTTATTCTTGGTTAGTCTTTGTTCTGAAGTCTACTTTGAATCATAGTCTTGCTGTGCACCTCAGGCTGCCCGCAAACTCAATATTCCCCTGCCTCCCACGTGCTAGGACTGCAGGTGTGCACTACCTTGTCCAGCTACTGCTTTCTTTAGTATTTACATAGAATATGTTCTCAGCCTTTTAATTTAACTTGCCTGTCTACAGAGGGTTCTTTTTTTTTTTTTTTGTACCGGGGATCAAACTCAGGACCTTGTGCTTTCGAGGCAGCTACGGTGCCACTGAGCTAAATTCCTGGCCCTACATAGGGTTCTTGTCGACAGCTTATTGTTAAACTTTGATTTTTTTAATGTCATTTGTAAATGTTTGTCTTTTAATAGAGTGATTATGTCATTTACATGTAATCAAGTTATTTTCTGTTCCTCTTTTCTGGGTTTTGTTCCTCTGATCCCCTTTCCTGCCTCTTTTTAGAGTATTTGAATATTTTTGGGTTAAGCGTATATCTGCGTGTGCATGTGTGCATGTGTACACTTGTGTTTCAGTGGTGCTCTAGGGCATTGTAATGTACACATGTAACTCTTTCAATGTCTATTTAGAGTTTATATTGTAAGGCTTCGATTAAGAAGCCTTAGAGCCATATAAAATTCTTTTTGTTTTAGCAGGCACCCAGTCCTATTAGGCTCAGATAAGACAGAACCTATCTTCTATGAGGGAGTGGTGTTTCTAATCTTAGTTTTCAGAAGCCTCTTCTGTGCTGGGAGTGATGGCACATGATTGTAATCCAGCACAGAGGGAGGCTGAGGCAGGAGGATTGCAAGTTTGAGTGCTGCCTGTGCAGTTTAGCAAGACCCTATCCTAAAATAAAAAATAAAAGGAGCTGGGGTTATAGCTCAGGGAATAGAGCACCCCTGGGTTCAGTCCCTATTACTGGAAAAAAATCAAAAGCCTTTGCTACATGCTTTGGCTCTAATGTGCAGCTCAGGACTGAATCTGAGAGTTATGTGGTTTCACACACAGAATTAAGGATTTCCCCTCACTTTCATCTCTTTGGGATTCATCCCACATCCTCTGGTCTGCTTAGTCCCCATTTGCTGGTTCTCTGGCTAGAAACATAAGGTTTCTTACAGTTTTAACTACCTTTTCTATTGTACTGCTCTACAGGTCTGGAGCTATTGCAAAGGTAGGAAAGGAAGAAAAAGGCATTGCTTAGCTGCTTTGATACTATCTCAGCAGACTGGTCCAGAGGATGACAGGGTGTGCCCCCCTTTGGCTACATCTTCCAGTTTAGCAGCCCCAAGTTAGATAGCAGCTTTCCCTTAGCTGTTCCAGCAAATATCCAGAAACTCTGACTTTTCCTGCAAGGGTCACATGCTCATGCTGGGCCTGTGCTGCTTAGAAAGCCCAGATCATGTGCCCAGCCTAGAGCAGATGGGGCTTGAGGGGCTTGGCCCCACCTGCACCTGACAGCATATTGTTGGGCTTTTTTTTTTTAAATCCAATATGGAAATCTTTGTCTTTTAATAGTAATGTTTATGCCATTTACATTTAATGAAATTATTATTTGTCCTCTGCGCTCTGGCTTTTGTTTTTCTTTGTTTTGAAGTATTTGAATACTTTTCGCATCCCATCTTAATTCATTGTTTGATTTAGGTACATACTTGTGTGTGTGTGTGTGTGTGTACATGCACGCATGTGCATGTGTGAGCATGAGAGACAGTGTGTGTGAGCATGAGTGAGCACATGTGAGCGCTGAAGTATACATTCTCACCTGGAATGATGACACTCCCATGAAAGCAGAATAATGTTAGGTATTTTGATATAGATATTGGTATTAGATATTTTGGATACCAACACATATCTGTGAGATTGTTTCACAAGTCAGAGTGATTGGGAAAAAATTGTCTAAAAGGGCTTCTGGGGGATTGTAATTTTTGTTAAAGACTGAGAAAAACTGCCTTAAAGGAAACTAAGGTGCTAGTACCAGAATGGGGATGGAAACCAAGCAGCCAGAAATAGCCCTGTCTACTGTGGAGGAGTCTAGAAAATGGGATCACAGCAGATGGGAGTAGGTGAGCAGCTGCCACCTGAGGGGCAGGGCTCAGTGAGCAGAGAGTGGGAGCAGTGCCCAGAGAGCTGGCCTCACCTTCTATCTCCCCGGCCATGGAGTCCTGGTGCAGATTTGGCCAGTCTGAGAAAGGTCCTGACTTCTCCTTCTGCTGCCTCTGGTGCAGGTGAAGAGTGAGGTTGAGAAGCTTCCCCGGCAGCAGCGGAAGGAAAGCATGAAGCAGAAGATGGAGGAGCACACGCAGAAAAAGCAGCTTCTTGTGAGTCCTCAGCCCTGGATTGTGTCCTTGTCCCTCCTGCCTTGGTTCAGGGTTCAGGGCTGTTTGTATGTTGCATCTCCTTGACCCACCCAGACAGCCACCTGCTACTTGGTGTTGTTTGGAATCTAAAGATCCTTGATCTCTCAGACCTGGGCCTGGTCTTGTGTTTTGAGCATTACCCTCCTCCCTGTTGGTAGGGTAGAAACCTTGTCATTCCTGACTCCTTTCCCTCCAGCCCTTGCACTGTGTGTGTGTGTGTGATCTGTTATCCCTGATCCAGTATCACTGCTTCCCTGAAGTGGCCTCCCTGCTTCCTCTGTGGCTCCCGTGTAATTCCTACTCTCACACTGGCAAGTACAAACAGTACAAACTCCAAATCTGACCGTGTTTCTCCTACTCTGGTGTCTTTGCATATTCTGCTTGCTTGACCCCAAATGCAGGAAATACTAGTCCACTTTTACAAATGCTTCATGTATGGGCTGGTTAAGCATTTGTGGCTTCATTCGTATTGTTTTCCTATTTGCAGAAGAGGAACCCAGGACTCAGAGAGGTGACGTTGGAGTTGACAGTGGGGCCAAGGCCTCAAGCCTGGTATGACTCCAGGCTTTGTGTTCTCTCTAGGACACCCTACAAGCTGTCCCTTAACTCTGACTGGAAAGCATGAAGGAGAGGGAGCAAGAGGAGATGGGGTGAAGTGGATTAGTGGGTACAGTGAGATAGGAGAAGTCAATTCTTGTGTTTTACTGCACAGTACGGTGAGTGATTATAGTTGATATTAATGAATAGTGTATTTCACCATAGCTAGAAGAGAGGATTTTTAAATATTTTTTAATTAGTAGTCCACGTTTGCCACATGTAATGTTTGCATTTGTGTTAGGGAATAGGTACAAGTACTTAGCATATCTTAATTCTTTTTATCCCTTCCCCTCCCTTCTTCCATCTGTAGATCCCCTCCCCACATTTCACTGTGGGTAGTTGATACATGAACATAGCACATCTTAATTCTTTCCACGCGACCCCGCTTCTCTTGGTCCCCTTCCCATTTGTAAAAAAATCTAGCTTCCTGTTTCCTTTTATCCATATTTATTTTGTTCTTTATGTTTTGGATTTATCATATGAGCGAATCCATACAGTATTTAATCTTGTGTGTCTGATTTATTTCACTTCACATTGTTTTCAAGTTGCATCTGTTTTCCTACAAATGACTGAAAGGTATCCTACTTTATAGCCAAGTAATATTCCATTATGTATAGCTACCACATTTTCTTTATCCATTTGTCTATTGGTGAACGTATAGGCTGCCTCCAGGATTTAGCTAGTATGAATTCTGCTGCCTGGCCTGTAATCCCTGCATTTGGGGGGCTGAGGCAAGAGGATCACTGTGACTTTGAGGCCAGCCTGAGCTACATAGTGAGTTCAGGGCCACCCTGAACATAATAAGACCCTGTCTCGGGAAAAAAAAAAGTTGTGCTGCTATAAAATTGGTATGAATGTATCGCTGTAATATGATATCTTTAACTCTTTCGGGAAGATGCCTAGAAGGGGAATAGCTGGATCAAATGGAATTTCTATTTTTTTTGTTTTGTTTTGTTTTATTTTGTTTTTTGTACCGGGGATTGAACTCAAAACCTTGTGCTTGTGAGGCAGGCAGCGGCACCACTGAGCTAAATCCCTGGGCCTATTTTTAATTGTTTGAGGAATCTCCATACTGATTTCCATAATCGTTGTACTAGTTCACATTCCCACCAGCAATGAAAGAAGGTTCCTTTCTCTCCACAGCCTTGGCAGCATTTGTTATTATTTGATTTTTAGAAGGGAGAATTTTGAATGTTTTACCCCCAAGAAATGATAAATGTTTGAAATGATGGATATGCTGATTACCTTGATCTGGTCATTACACAAGGCATAAGTATAGTACTTCATAAATTCCCACAATTATTATCAATTTTTAAAAGTAATTTTTAAATTTTTTTTTTGGTACCAGGGATTGAACTCGGGTCCTTGCACTTGCAAAGCAGGCACTGGAACCATTGAGCTAAATCCCCAGCCCTAAAAGTAATTTTTTAAACACAGGGCTGGGTAAGGGTTAGATCGACAGTCTTTCCTCCCTACAGAGAGAGACAGAGAAACAGAGATAGAAAGCAAGAGAGAACAGATGATACGGCCCTGTAGGAAGCCAATCTGGCAGTTACATCAAGATCCTCAAAACTTTGAACATCCTTTAGCTTGAATTTTCTGCTTCTGGAAATCCTGAGTCAGTCAGGATTATTTCTTGGGGAAATAAGAGTCACTCTATACCATGAAATATTTTTAGCCATTAAAGCACATTTAATAGAAGATTACATTGTAACATTAAGATCTTTTAATTTTTTCCCCATTGACTTTTGAAAGAGAAAGATCTTTTAATTTTTAAACCATTTGTTTGTTTGTGGTACTAGGGCTTGAACCTAAATTTTCTTCTCTGGTCATGGAAATCTTTCTCTTGTAATAGTCTCTCAAGCCAACTCTGGGTAAGGTCCTGTCCTCTTCCTTCTCACAGGACCGGGACTTTGTAGCTAAGCAGAAAGAGGATCTGGAGCTGGCCATGAAGAAGCTCACTGCAGAAAACCGGCGGGAGATCTGTGACAAGGAGCGCGAGTGCCTTAGCAGGAAGCAAGAGCTCCTTCGAGGTGGGGCCCAGAGTGGGTGGCGCCATCCTGGCCTAGGATCACTGTGAATGGGAAGTGGGGAGGGAAGAAAAAATCTACTGGGGCTTTTCCATCTCGAAGACCAGACATACTCTTCACGGTGAATCTGGAGGCAAACCCCCACTGAAGTCAGGAACAATGGACGGGTACCACTCACCACCCACACTCTTTGACATTATTCCAGGGGTCAAGGGGAAGAGAAAAGATGTAGCACAGGTGGAAACTAAATAAAAGTGAGCTAGGACATTGGATGGTAGAGAGAGCACTGAGGGCCCGGTCTGAAGGCTGTCACGTGTGGAGCAGCTGCTCTGCCAGGCCATGTGCTCATCAGTTTTCATACCTTGACCTCATAGAATCCTCACCTGATCCCTATGAGACAGGTCCTCTTATCATCCCAATTTTTATAAACCAGGAAACTGAGTCTTGGAGAGTTACTATTCTTTGGTTGAGTGTCTTTAGTCTGGTCGGGAATTCTTGTAAAATACCATAGACCAAGTGGTTTGTAAATAACAGAAATGTATTTTTCATACTTTAGAGACTGAGGAATCAAAGGTCAGGGCACTGGGCCCAGTGTCTGCCATGGGCCTTCTTCCTCACTGATAGTGTGTGTTTCGCCCTGGGTCCTCTGCTCAGGGTCTCCATTGAGCCCTTCCTGTTTGCCCCTGCCTCCCAGTGACACTTCATCCCTCCATGGGGTAACAGTGCCCATTTGGCAGAGGTGGTAGCTGAGGCCTGAAGAGGTTTTCTTAATGATCTCAAATCTCAGCTGCATCTGGATTCCAGCCTGTGTCTGGATGGTTTTTGGCTCCAGACTTAGACTGCTCGCTCCCTGCTCTCCCCATGAGGCTGGGGCTGGCATCTCTTAGGCTTAAAGTAAGTTTCTAGGACTCAGATAGGGCAGCGAGCCCCACTGAGGTAGCACACACAGGTTGGTGATCAGCTCCAGCATGATGAGGCCTGAGGGAGGGGACTGGAGGGGAAGACCTGTCTGGTCTTCAGGCCTGCTCACACCTCACCAGGCGGTGGCATGTCCTCCCTCCACAGACCGGGAGGCGGCCCTGTGGGAGATGGAGGAGCACCAGTTGCAGGAGAGGCACCAGCTGGTGAAGCAGCAGCTCAAAGACCAGTACTTCCTTCAGCGGCACGAGCTGCTGCGCAAACACGAGAAGGTGAGGCTCTGGCGGGGTGCAGGTGGGGACCACTGCTGAGGACCTGGCTGGCTGTGAGGCCACCATGATGGTGGATCTCTTGGGTACCAGTGAAGGCCCAGGTGATTGTCTGGGAACCAGGGGAACCAGTGTGAGGGAGCAGTTGGGCAGGACCAGGCTCCCTTGCTGACCCTGACACCCGCACTGCCTATCTTTCATACTTCTTTCCCTCTTTCCTTTTTGTCCTCCCTCCACTTTCTCTTTAGTCCTCTGTTGCAAGCGTTCCCTCAGAATACTTTGAGGGCTCCCCCTACACACCACCTGTGCTGGGAAACCTTCCCAGGCCCCCAGCTGGTGAGGGCCCCTGGTATGTGCAGCCAGAGCACCTCTCCATCTGAGCTAATAGTCTGTTCCATTCCCATAGTGGGGACAGCGACAGATCAGCTGGAGACGCACACACAGCAGCTGTGGGGAATCCCAGTTCCTATCTAAGTGCAGTGCGGAAGTCAGCATAGGACTGGGGGAGCTCAGAATGGGTGCACAGCCTGCTGTGTAAGTCATGGGAGGCCCCCTGAAGGAGACGCTGCCCATGGGCAGTTTGGAAATACAAACAGGTGTTAGGAGGAAGAGAGAATTCAGATTTATCACAGCATGTGTGCATGTGTATGGTACTGGGGATTGAACCCTGGGTGCTCCACCACTACCACTGAGCTACAGCCCCAGCTCTGTTTTTGTTTTGTTTTTTTGACAGGGTCTTGCTAAGTTGCCTAGGCAGGACTTGATCTTATAATCCTCCTGCTTCTACCTCCCTCAATGCCGGGATAATAAGGCTTTTTTCTAAAGAGGCTGGGGACACAGCTCAGTGGTACAGCACTTGCCTAGTATACGCAAGGCTCTGGGTTTGAGTCTCAGCACTGCCAAAACAAAAAAGGCTTTATAAAATATGAATTTACAGTGCTATCAGTTATGAACCAGCCTTTCTGGCATATATTTTGCTTTGAGATGCTACCTAATAATGGTGTCCCGTCATGTATTTGATAAGGCATTAGGAAGGTGTAAAATACTGACTGACTCAACATGGCTTTCTGGGCCCATAAGTTGAAATACTACAGGTCAAAGTGTTATATAACGGCAGAAGTAAACCAGCACAAGCCAGGCTGTGCTAAGCATCCTGGGCCTTATGGGTCCCAGGCTCTGACCACATCCTGTATCCAGAGCTCAGCTGACCTTGGCCCTGCTGTGTCCCCCCAGGAGCGGGAGCAGATGCAGCGCTACAACCAGCGCATGATAGAGCAGCTGAAGGTGCGGCAGCAGCAGGAAAAGGCACGGCTGCCCAAGATTCAGAGGAGCGAGGGCAAGACGCGCATGGCCATGTACAAGAAGAGCCTGCACATCAATGGAGGGGGCAGCGCTTCCGAGCAGCGTGAGAAGATTAAGCAGGTGGGAGCTGGCCTGGTGCCCAGGGGCATGTAGGGAGCGGGCAGAGAAACAAGCTTGGAGGGGCCCGAACCTTGTACAGTTTGGGAGAATATAAAATAGAAGACGTAGCACGAGATCTTGGGGGGCGGCGGGTGCACGAGGTCTTGTGCGAGTCATAGCTTGGAAGCTTCATTAGCCCCACAGTGAATCCAGGCCTGGTGAACACAGAAGGGGTGTGGCATTGTGCTGTGGACTTTGTCACACATCATCCCCTTCACACACCCGTGCTTTTACACTGCAGCTTCCTCTGCTGGTCAGCCCCTTCCTCTACCCATCAGGCCCCACTTACATGTCACATATGTGGCCCAGGCACCTGTGATTCCTGGGCACCCCGTCCTAGCACGTGTCACGTTACAGTGTTAGGTCCCACCAGTCTTGGGCCAGGGCCTGAGTGTCAGCTCACAGTGGTCGCACAGCAGCTCAGTGGTAGAGCACTTGCCTAGCATGCTGGAGGCCCTGTGTTCAGTCCCCAGCACCACAACAGAACAAAGGAAACAAAACAGTAGGGTACAGCCTGAGGTCGTGCTGGGCACTGGGGCTGTGCCCAGACCAGTCCCTGTGCTGGCGTCCCGAGGCAAGGTAAGGTAGGTGCCCCAACCAAGCAGCCGGGCTCCTGGGCCCCTGAGGCACCCACGCTCTGTCTTGTACAGTTCTCCCAGCAGGAGGAGAAGAGGCAGAAGTCAGAGCGGCTGCAGCAGCAACAAAAACATGAGAACCAGATGCGGGACATGCTGGCGCAATGCGAGAGCAACATGAGTGAGCTACAGCAGCTGCAGGTATGCCCTTCTTCACTGCCTCAGTTTCCCCAAGGAAGTCAGTGCTCAGGGACCAAAGGCTCCCTGAATAGCAAGAAAGGATCCTTGTCACACAAGCCCATAGTGAACTGGATCCAATCCTGCCGCACTGCTCTCAGGCGGTGTGACGCTGGACAAATCACTGTCCCAAGCCATACTTTTGACACCCCTAAAGTGGTTGTGGTCAGGGTTGATTCCTGTCTTGCAGGACTGGGGTGTGGCTTTGTGAAGAAGGTAATGGAGCTCAAAGTGATTTGGCCAGGTCCCACAGCTGGCATACTGCTAGTTTCTCTGTCGTAGAAAGGCATTCCTCTCCTGGTGACTGCTTTGCAAGTCCTGGACCTCTTCAGGCTTCCTAGGTTTGCTCCATGCCTCGGGGTCATCTGCAGGTCAGGGCTCCCAGGTTCTTCACTGGTACCTGACCACTCTGATCTTGGCCTCCAGCTTCCCAAAGGCCTGAGGGTTCTGGCCTCAGAAGCTGGTACTTGGAGCCCCCTTGTGGTGAAGCAAGACATTGTCGGGGCTGAGCAATGGGGCCAACTTCCGTCTGTCAGGAAATTGCTCAGGCTATTGGTCTGATCGGGCAGTTTCTAGAGAAGCAAGGGGCATCCAGGACACATTACAGGCACCAGAGCCTGCCAGGCAGAGAGACTGTTGTTGGCCACTTACTATGTGATTTTTTTGTTTTGTTTTTCCAGTACAGTACAAGGTATTGAACCCAAGGCCTTCCCACTGAGCTATATCCTAGGCCTTTTAAAAAATTTTACTTTGAAGGCAGGGGATTTAGCTCAGTGGTTCTGCCACCTGCCTCACAAGCGCAAGGTCCTGAGTTTAATCCCCAGTACCAAAAAAAGAAACTTTTATTTTGAGACAGGGTCTTCCTAAGTCACAAAGTTGCCCAGGCTGGGCACAAGCTCATGTTTCCTGCCTCATCCTCCCAGAGTGCTGAGATTACAGGTGTGTACCACTGTGCCCAGCTTGCCACTGTGTGCATTTTAGTCAAGCCTCTCACATCCCTGGATTCTTGCATCATGGGGTTACTGTGAGGATTAACTGAAGACAGCCCATAGAAATGCCGTGTGCAGCAGCCTACAGGCCTCCGTGCTGCTATGACTGTTAATCCTAACTATACCAATTTCTAAACTCCCAGAAGCCTTTCGCTTGAAACTCAAAATAAAAATTCCCCAAAGGGTTCTACTTTCCCAACCCAATAGGAAGCTGGTGTCTGGATAAAGGTACTTTTCCCCTGGTTCATTGATACCTTCTGACAAGACCAGTTTCCTGCAGGGACTTGCCACTTCTGCTTATGAAAGATTCTAATAAAATGTGTAAAGCAGGTAACATATCTTGGAGAGAGTACAGTAGAGCTTGGCAAGTCTCAACCACGACCCTGACCCTTGTCCCTTGCCAGGTTGGGATGTACCTCAGTAGTAGACTGCTTGCCCGGTATGTCTGAGGCCCTGGGTTCAAAGCCCAGTACTGAAAAAAAATTCAGATAATGAAAAAGCATCTAAGAGAAAGTTACAAAATTACTGCAAATGCCACGACACAGACAATAGCTATTACCGTTAATATTCTGGAATATCCCTCCAGGCACTTCATGGGGCATGTGTAGAGTTGTGTAAAAGAAGTCTGACACACATCCACACACACCCCCACATTCACAATGGTGGTGCCCTCGGAGCTATAGTATATGTGTTCCCAGTGCCTCTTCCTTCTGATTTTCACACCCGTCTGTCTGGAATTTGTTCCAGAATGAAAAGTGTCACCTCCTGGTAGAGCATGAAACCCAGAAGCTGAAGGCCCTGGATGAGAGCCATAACCAGAACCTGAAGGAGTGGCGGGACAAGCTTCGGCCACGCAAGAAGGTAGCCACGTGGGCCCCGGGGTGTAGTGGTGGGCTCTGCTCCAGCTCTGCCACGTGTGTCTTCCCAGGACAGCTTACGTTCCCTGATTTTGGTGGATCCTTGTTTGTGGCATCCCTAAAATGGCTCTCCAGCCTGAGAGGAAGAGGACCCATGTCACCAGTGGCAGCAGAACACTGCAGCTTCACCCTCCGCAGTGGCAGCCTCTTTGCTGTCTGGTCCAGTGCCTTTGTGTGGCTCATTCTCAGCCTCAAGGGTCCTGCCTTGTGGGCACAGAGGACCTGCAGTGCGTGGGAATCAGCTGCCTTGCCGGGCCAGCATCCCCGCCTGTGAGGCTTTTCCCTTAGAGGAAGTTACTCTGTGAGGTCAGAACCCAGCACCAGAGAGATTGTAACAAATTGCCTTAACTCACTGAGCTGGGCTGAAGCTCAGTGGAGAGTGCTTGCCTAACATGTGCGGTGCTCTATCTTCAGGCCCCAGAGCCACACAAACAAAAACCAAAGCCAAAACACTCACATACCCAGGCCACTAGCTTAAGCCAGCACCCCCTTAGGATCTCATAACAGATATGATAGTGAAACAGGTCAGAAGTGTGTGTTGTCGTGTCACACACCCCCCCCCTTTAGGGTCTCATGAGGAGGCAGTCAAGGAGCTGCCAGGCTGGACTCCTACCTGGCGCCTCTGGGAAGAATCACTTCCAAGCTCATCCAGGATTTGACAGAATCCAGATCTCCACTGGTTGTCAGCCAAAGCCCCCGGTCTGCGCTAGAGCCACCCACATTCCTTGTGTGTGGCCCCTCCATCTCCACACAGCATGGCTGTCTTAAGGCCTTCTCTGTGCTTTCAGTTTCTCCATCATCCTCTTCTGCTAACAGTGGGAAGAAACTGTTAAAAGGCCCTTTGAGCAGATGAGGCTGGCGGGGATGGCTCCTGCCTTGCAGAGTGAGATCATATTCACGGGTTCCACCTACACTCAGATGAGCCGGGAGAGTGGCAGGGCGAGTCCCTGGGGGCATTCGTAGAATTGTGCCTGACAGACTCCCACATTCACAAACATGCTATCCTTCCATCCTGAGGATTGAACCCAGGGCTTTGAGTGTTCGAGCTTGCATCATTCGTTATTGTGTCTTTTCTCGCATCTCCAGCAGCCCATATTCCCCACCCAAGTTCTTCCCCTCATATGCATCTCTCAGTCTGTTGTAGCTGCTTCCGGCAAGGTTGATAACAAAACCCTGGCAGCTGCCCTGTGGGGAGGACTTGGTTGGCCTGCGCTCTGGGTGGCAGGTGGCACCATCCAGCACTCTCCCTGGCCTGTCTGGCCGCTTCCCTGCTGCCAGACCCGTGCAGCTTCCTGGACCACCCCGGGACATCTGACCCACGCCTGTTCTCAGCCTTCTGGGTGGTCTGGCCCCTCTCCCTGTCTGAGCTCACTCGTTTCACAGCTCTGTCTGAACCCTTCGAGCCATGCCCCCCATCTCTGCCTGCCACCCTCTCCGCCCTCCAGCCTACCACATTCCTGGATTCCTCTATCCGCCCCACACTGTCCTGTCCCAAACACAACCCATCACCTCCACCACAAATCTGTTCTCCCATGTTCTTTTTGTTATTTTGAGACAGGGTCTCATTATGTAGTTCACACTGGCCTTGAACTCACTATGTAGCCCAAGTTAGCCTCAGACTTGGGGCAGTCCTCCTGCCTCAGCCTCCCAAGTGCTGGGATTACAGGCGTGTGACACCATGCCCAGAGGTGTGCGGCCCCTCTCCTACGTTCTTGCTCTTTGGTGAATCTCACCTCCATTTTCCTGGATGCCCAGGCATCTAACTGAATGTGATATCCTCTTCTCTCCTTCCGTGCCTGCCCTCTTGCTGTCTCATGTCAGTTGCTTAGCTCCTTCCTTTCATCCTCCTCAGTGTTGCCCTTCCTCCTGATTAGGCCTCATTGCTTCTGACCTCGTTTACCCAGACTGCCCTCTACCTGGGCTCCTGATTTGACACCTGCTCTGATGCCCCTGCCCCTTTCCCCCCAGACGTCTGATTCAGACCACAAGAACTCTCTAGCCTAGTAGGTCTCAAGCTTTCTGGTTTCAAGACCTGCCTGCACTTTAAATGTTATTCAGAACCCCAAAGAGTTTTGGGTTACATGGATGGAGATTTGTTACTATTTTAGAAAATTTAGCTGAGAATTTAAAAAATATTTATTAATCCCTTACAAATCATAACAAAATACTCCTTACATGTTTATGTAAATAACATACTGGTGGAAAATGACTACCTTTTTCAAACTAAATTAATGAGAAAATTGACACTTTTACATTAAGCAAATCTAATGTTTCAAAGAAAATTTCTGAATTCTTAATTCTTTCGGCATTTGATCTGTTGTGATATATTATCTCAGTTGATGTTTATGAAGAAAATCTGGCTTCCCACAAATATGTATTAGGAAAAGGAAGGAGTATTTTAATAGCCTTTTCAGATAACTATGTATATTCTTTTTTTTGGTATTGGGGATCTAACTCAGGACCTTGCGCTTGCGGGGCAGGTGCAGTGCCACTGAGCTAAATCCCTGGCCCCAACTATTTATATTCTTTGATAATACATCAGAAATGGTTGTCCCTCCCTTCCTCCCTCCTCCTCCCTCTCCTCCGTTCTGTGCTAGGAATGGAACTGGGAGCCACACACATGCTAGGCAAGTGTTCTAACACTGAGCTGCACCCCCAGCTCAGTGCTTGTGTTTGCAAGGCTAGTTGTAGTATGAAACCTGCATCCACACATCAGTGAACTATTTGTCATTTGTTGCTAAAGCCCACTGCTTTGTCTTGCACTTTAGATGGAACTTCCCTCATCCATTATCTTGCCATTGGTCCACTGAGTTAATTCAGATCTTTCAAATATTGATGTATTACATTATAGAATATTAAAGTATCATGTCAGCTGGATGCGGTGGTGCAGGCCTATAATCCCAGTGTTATGGGAGGCTGAAGCAGGAAGGTCACAAGTTGGAGCCCAGTCTGAGCAATTTAGTGACTTAGTGAGACTTTGGCTTAAAATAAAAAACAAAATGTAGCCCAGTGTGAAGGCCACAGGTTTAATCCCCAGCACCACACACAAAGAAAGTGTCATATCACCAGGTGTGGTGGCGCATGCTTGTACTCCCAGCTACTCGGGAAACTGAGGTAAGGTGATCACAAGTTTGAGGCTGGCCTGAGCAATTTAGACCTTTTCTCAACATAAAATCAAAAAGGCCTGGGGAAGTAGCTCAGTGGTAGAGTGCCCCGTGGTTCAGTCCCTAGTACCACCACCAAAATCAAAAAGGGTCTATTAATATCACCCCTGATCTCATGAGAAAAACCCTTAAATGCTGAAAAGCTCTTAAACTCAGTGCAGTGGACACAGGTTTTCCAAGATTCTAATTTTTGCTTGATTACTCAAATTTTGTCATTATTGTTTTCCTTGATGATTTGGTCATTTTGTTCTTTTTTGAGGAAATGTTTGCAAATACCTATAGTTAGTTGTTTTAAAAATAAAAATGATGTTCCATATAAAGCAATTAGTTCAGCTCATCACTCACACTTGCCCAAGGACACCTCTAAGCGGCCACTACACTTTGCCATGCGGCAGAAATCCACATGATGTGTATTTCCCATTATGGTGTGCACAATAATGAGGTATGCCCTTGAAGGTCAAGATCTCAAAATGAGTCATTTGTGTTGATTCATCAGCTGATCTTTTTTTTTCTTTTTCTTTTTTGAGAAGGGGTCTATGTATTTTAGGCTGACCTTGAACTCATTATGTAGCCCAGGCTGTCGAACTCGTGAGGATCCTCCTGCCTCAGCCTCCCAAGTGCTGAGATCATAGGTCTGCACCACCACACCTGGCTGGAAATACCTTTTTAAATTTATTTTTTTACTATGAGAGTACATTATGGAGAGGAACACTTACCCAGTTTGGTGCTGTTGTCTTAATTCCTCCTTGGGCTCCAGAAGTTTTAGCTATCGTTGTTTTTGTACCATCAATTCAAATCTCTACAGTGGAAAAAGTAAATTATGTCCTTGTCTTAGGAAGGTAGTTCTGACTTTGCTATCTGCCCTCACCTGGGTTCCCTAGGGATCTGTGGACTAACACTCTTGTTTCATCACCTGTGACCTTGGCCCATGCTTGTGCTCTGAACAGATTTTGGTACTCAAATAGCTGTCCATGCTGTCTGTGCTGCCCTCCTTTCCTGCTGCCCAGGCTGTTCCCTTTTGTTAGGAATTCCATACCCATCAGCCTTTGCATGGCCAGCTTCAGTCTCTATCGTCTTCCATTATTAGGCTGGGTGGCTGACTCTTCTGGACTCCAGTGACTTTGTGTGCATCCTGTCATGGTACTTACTACATGGTGTTGCCATTGTCTGCCACCTTGTTTCGTCATTCACTGTGCCCCACACTGTTGTAGACACTGGAGATCCTACCCTAATCGAAACAGACAAGTCCCCCTCATGGAGCTGAGCCAGTGAAGGGCAGAGAAGCAGAGAAGGGACCAGAGCTGGGGTGGCAAAGGGGGCCAGCTGCATATGGTTGGCAGTGATGCCTCAGTAAAGTTCTGGAGGACAGGAGGCAGAGAGCCATCACATTCCCGGGGGAGCATTCTCAGCAGAGGCAAGAGCAAGTGCAGTGGTCTTGAGGCGAGAGTGTTCCTGCCATGGTTGAGGAACAGGGAGGCTGCTGAGGCTGGAGCCTGGAGCAGAGTGGTTGTGACAGTGTGGGGTGATAGGAGGTAAAGATGAGGGTGAGGGGTGGCCTGGGTAAAGTCTGGCTTTTACTCTGTATGAGATGAGCACGCCTGGAGGGTTCTAGCGGAGGAGGCCACAGTCTGACTCAGGTTTTGAAAGGGTCCCTCTGGCTGCTGAGGGAGGTCAAGGTGAAAGCAGAAAGATCAGGAAGGAACCTAGGATAATCTTGTTCCCATGTAGCTGGAATTTCCAACATGTGCCACTGTACCTAGCTAAGGTTTAAATATTAATCATCTCTTAAAAATACCTTTTTTGGGGGGTGCTGGGACGGAACCTAGGCCTCGTGCCTACCAGACAAGTGCTCCAGCACTGAGCTACATCCCCTGCCTTAAAAAGAATCCTCACAGTGACATCTGGTCTGGTGTTTGGCCAAACAGCTAGGTACCATGGCCTTGCCAAGTTGTCACGTAAGATTAACCATCACTAGCCAGGTGTGGTGGCACATGCCTGTAATCCTGGCCCTCTGAGAAGCTGCGACAGGAGTTCCACCTGGGCAACTTAGCAAGAACCTTTTTCAAAAAGGGGTGTGTGTGTGATATGTATGTATATATAAGGGGTTGGGGATGTAGCTCAGTGTGGAAGCTCTGGATTCAATCCCTAGTACTTCAGACAAACAAAGATTAAGTGTCACAAGGTCTGGTGGTATTTATAGAGATATCAGTATTGTACAGGGTCATGCAGAAAGTCACCAGCCCCTGGTACAGCCAAAGACACGCTCTCGGAGGAGAATCGCCCTAATCACCCTTGATCTCATTTCCCATTCAGCTATCGTGTCTCAGTTCTGCTTCCTGCACCATGGTCTGGACAGGAGGCAGCTGCCCAGCTCATCTTTGTAATGGCCTTGGAAGTCCTTGGGTTGAGACTTCCTCCCGGTGCTAATGGAGCTTTCTGGCTGGAAGCCGGCCAGGGCCCCAGACCTTCCTGTGAGCTGGCCTGCACTCATCAGTTTCCGTAACCATGGCCTGCTGGGACTTCTGATACTTGACACTCAAATCAATGATTTTCCTGCTGACAGGATAATTCTGGTATCAGAGAAACAAATGTCACCTGGTTCTCTTACCTGGGTCACCTCTACCTTTGGTGTATCCTGAGTTTGAAAATGAACAATCGCATTTCCCCATCGGCTGCCTTCTATGTCAGGTTGCCTCCTGGGGCCTGGGCTCAGGGGAGGCACTGCAAGTATGTGTTTGGGGCAGCGGCACTGGATTTTGGCTGTGGGTGCTGCCTCTTTGCACAATTCTCTGTTGAATTCTTTTGTTGTTAGCTACCTCGGTTGGTGTTGGAGCACTGACCCAGGGTGAGATGGTTTACATTCTGGAATAAATGGTCTCTTGCACTCTTGCATAATAGTCAGCTGCCTTGAGCTCCCTCACTTTTATAGAAGGGAAGTGATTGGACATTGTGGAGTGTTTTTAGAACTGTTCAGATTGCCAGGTATGGTGGCACACACCTATAACCCCAGCACTCAAGAAGCTGAGGCAGGAGGATCACCATGAGTTTGAAGCCAGCCTGCACTACACAGTAAGACCCTGTCTCGAAAAATAGGAAAGAGAAGAAAAAAAAATTGCAGGGTTTTTTCTTTCAAGTAAGTACAGAATGCTTGGTAGGACCAATGAAGTGTTGCTTGGTCATCATAGACACAGAATAAAACTTCCAACCCCTTCCCTTCTGAACTTTGGCTTTTTGGGCTGCAAAATGTAGATAATATTTCTTCCCTTAAAGCAAGTGTTAGCACACTCCTGCCTATGGCCCAAAGTGGTCTCTCCCCGTATTTGTAAATGTTTTATTGGACACAGCCATGTTCCTTCATTTACATTTGATCCCTGGTTGATTCTGCCCTTCAGTGCTAGTTGAATTAGTTGCAATGAAGTCTTTATGGGCTTCAAAGCCAAAAGTGTTTACCATCTGGCATAACAGGAAAAAACCTTGTTGATTCCGACCATAGAAGGTTACACAGAGGAGGCTCTGTGGTGGGAGAAGGAGGTACTATAGAAGAGCACAGGCTCTGGAGTCGCATGTGTGGATAAAGTCCTCATTTCCTGTTACATGTTGAGTAACCCTTATTTGGAATTCTTGGGGACCAGAAGTGTTTGGGGCTGTTTCAGAGTTTGGAAATTTGCATATATGAAATGAGGTGTCTTAAAGATGGTACCCAGGGCCAATCACAGAATTCACTGGTTTCACATCTACCTTGAACACATTGTCTAAAGGTAATATTATACCATATCTTCAGTACACCTGCCTTTTGACTGTGGCCCATTACATGAGGTCAGATGTGGATTTTTCTACTCAGAGCATCAGACTGGTGCTCGAAAGGCTTTAGATTCTGGTGCATTTAGGGTTTTGTATTTTTAGAGGAGGGATGTTCAGCCTGCGCCAGCTGTGAAGTTGGGCAAATTACTAAACCACTCTGTGCTCAAAAAGTAGTGCTATTAATATTCCAGACAAGGCATGTAGGTTGGTAGAGCATTGGCCTAGCATAAACAAGGCCCTGTGTTCATTCTCAGCCACCAAAAAGAAAAAAAAAATTAGTGTTCCTACAGTGAAGGTCACAAACTATGGTCTGAAATGGCTTATTACATTTGGCAAACAATGATTTACATTTTTTTTTTAAGTTGTGATTTTACTTAGAAATCTGAATTTCCAACTTTGTTCGAAAATCTAGGAGTTCTGGCAGTACTGTGTGTTAAGCCTATGTTCTTTCCATTACGCTTTGCATCCTTTATGAATTAAATCCTTATAATTGGAGAACTCTTAAGAAATCTTTCTGATTTCTGTCTGAATTTCTGATTTCAGTGTGTGGTATATGCCTTTACTCCCAGCTATTCAGGAGGCTGAGGCAGGAGGATCACTTGAGGCCAGGAATTCCAGGAATCTTGGGCAACATAGTAAGACGCCCTTTTAAAAAACAAAATAAAACTCGGCATGGTGCTGCACATCTGTAATCTGAGCACTCTGGGAGGCTGAGGCAGGAGAATTGCAAGTTCAAGCCCAGCCCTGGCAACTTAGTGACTTAGAGAGACCCTGTCTCAAAATTTAAAAAGGGCTGGGGATGTAGCTCAGTGCAGTAGCCCTAGGTTCAATCCTCAGTACTGGGGGGAGAAAGTCACACTACATAGAACTGCAGTCCTACCTCACTTCTTTAGAATTCAGCCTTCAGAATGTGAAGCAGAGGCACGTGTACCGTGAAAAAACTCCCTTGGTGATTTCGCAGTAGTGGTTTAGACCACTGTGGCGCTTGGACGTCTCTGCTGTCCTCATGGTTAAAGCTCTCCCTGTCTTCTCCCTCCGGCTTCTCCTCCATGAGCCTGGCTGTTTCCCTGCAGAGAGACTTTCCTCTGCTACCCTCCGCCATCGCCATTGGGGTTCCCCACCGTCATCTCTGGGAGGCTCAGGGCTGCTCCTGAGTGGAGGAAGGGGGAGGTAGGACATAGCTTCTGGGAGGGGCTCTCGAGAGATGGCCTTACTGGAGGGGTCCTGCAGGTGGGAGACCCGTGTGTGGCCAAGGGCTCCCACAGAGCACCATCTGCTCTGTCTCTCCCCAGGCTCTGGAAGAGGATTTGAACCAGAAAAAGCGGGAGCAGGAAATGTTCTTCAAGCTGAGTGAGGAGGCAGAGTGCTCCGTCCCCACCACGCCGAGCAAGGCCACCAAGTTCTTCCCCTACAGCTCTGCAGACAATTCTTAACACCCCTTTGCCTGAGCTGGCAGGTAGAGTGGTGGGCCTCGGGGCCTTGCCATCGTTTGTGAACAAGTGACTCAGGATCCTCTTCCCCTTGCTCTGTGACAGTTTGCATCCAGCTGCTTGCTCTGTGCCACCCAGCTGTGCCCCGCCTGCCTGGTGCTCCTGACTCCTCACTTGCTCATGGAGGGTGGAGAGTTACAGGTGGCACCCACCCCTGATGTGTGTCCTCTTCGAGCCCCGCATCCTGTCCACCTGCACCTGGACTTGGGCTCTCAGTGGGGCCAGGACCCAGGAGGAATGGGTATGCCGTGGCCTCAGGGGCCCTCTTGTTTGCCAAAAATGCCAGTTTTGCTGTCTGTAGGCACAAAGTGCTGCTGATGAGTCACTGTGGGCTCATCCATATTGTGATGCTTGGTGGTTTTTAGCGATTCCTTGCAGTATCAGACAGGAACCTTAACCACCATTTCAGTTCCCAGCAGGACCAGGCTGGCAGCCAGTTGCTCAGGGGATGTCCTCACTCCCCTGGCTCCCCCAGTTTGCTTTCTGCTTAAGACAATGCTGTGTGTATGTTGGGGGAGGAGACGAGAAGGAGCCTCAAGTGTTTGATCTGCTGTTCTTGCATTTCAGGCCATTTCCTGTTCCTTTTCCTGGGTACATGTGCGCGCGCACTCGTGCCCGCACAGGGCTTGGCCCCCGGCACAGTGAGGCTTGCCTGTGCACTGAGCTGCCTGTTAGGTGGAACAGTTGATGGGCAACATGCTGAGTGTTGGCACCAGAGGCCCAGGGAAGGCACAGGCTGTATGTCAGTCTGTGACTCATTTTGGCCCCACACAAGGGCTAAACTCCTCACCACACAAGACTTCCACAGCCCAGCCTGCCCTCGGTCACCCTTGCCCACGCAGTCTGCAGGTGCTACGACAAGGACCTTCCCCTCGGCCTTGTGGCCCCATCCAGGAGTGCCCCTTCTCTTTCAGACCGAGCTTGCCAGTCACTTGGCTCTCCCAGAAGAAAAGGCATGGGGGTGGTCTGTGGAACAGAATGCTCTCTGCCCCTGGGAACCTGGCCAAAGCAAAGGTTCTGACCTCTGGTGGACTCCTGAGCCCTCAGGTTTCTCAGCCAGCCTCCTGAGACACTGATCCTACAGGCTGCAGTGTGTGTGTCACCCAATAAAAGCAGGTGCCCTAGCCTGCTTGTGGCTTATTTACAAAGCAGAGTTTTTTCATCTTGATTTCTAACTGTTCTGTGAAAGTAAAAAAATGTTTGCCTTCTAGCTGGATACAGTGGCACATGTCTGTCATCCCAGCACTCAGGAAGCTGAACCAGGAAGATCATGAGTTTGAGTCCAGCCCCGGAAAAAAAAATTATATAGAGAGTGAGCGTGTGTATATCTACTTAAAAGAATCTACAGTGCTGCTACTGATGGGCATTACAGAGTCTGGTCACTGGTTTTTTTCCCCCCTTGGATTTTGTTTTGTTTGTGGTAGTGAGCATTGAACCCAGGAGCTTCACACTGATCTACATCCCTAGCCCTTTTTGATTCTGAGATAGCTATCACTAAGTTGCCTAGGCTGGGCTCGACCTCCTAGCCTGACTCTGGTACTGTTTTGCTGGTGACAGAAAGTTGAGACACCCAGGAGGACTTTGTCCTCCCCTACTCCTGCAGGCTAGGGTTTAGTACAGTACTTTGTGCTTCTAAAGCAGTATACTGGAAGATGTCTCAGCACTGTTTATAACTGGATACTTGGGAAGGGAGGGGCAGCCATGGAACAGGAAAGGAGACTCACAAATCTTTTTTTTTTGGTACCGGGGATCGAACTTGGGTCCTTGCGCTTGCAAGGCAGACAGTGGAACCACTGAGCTAAATCCCTGGACTGAGGCTCACAAATCTTAAACTGCAGTGAAGATGCTCTCAGGGCCATAGAAAGCAATGATTTTCTTAGCTTAGCGAGCATTTGGCTTGCCTGCCTCAGCATTTGACCCAGGTGGGATGGTTTCAGGTCTCACACCAATGAGACAATCTAAACCACTGCCTCTTTCTCTTCTCTCTGGGGCACAGGTGCTGAGGAAAAGTAAACTGGCAGTAGTGTAACTGCAGAACACAAATCCAGTGGCCCCGGGCAAGGCCATGTGGGTGCACGTCAGGACTTTGTTTTCAGCATTCCCTTTTGCAGCCAGGGCTGTGGGAATGAGTATTAGGTGAAATGCCAGTTTCATGGTTCAGGTGAAAGTCTTTGATCTTGCCCTTATTTGGCTTGTCATTCATATTGTCCTGGCCCTTCACAGAGTTCTTTCTTTCCTACTCAGTGCCACCTGAACCCTGATACCTGCCCTGTGCCTCTTTGATGGGGTCCAGCCTGGTTCCCAGCCTCAGTTGAGCTGCTGTGCTGTGCCCATCACTGAGAAGGCCCACTCGGTATTCCTCATGCCCTGTGCTAACATTTTCTATGTAGGGGACAGACAGAAATGTTTCTCATTTTTAGTTCATTTTTAGCAGAGGAAATATAACATATTTTTTCTTTTTGAAGGATAGAAGTTATTTTTATGTAGTTTCCAAACTTTACATAAAACTTTTGTAAAATGTTCTCTGCAAAGTTAACTGAAAGAATGTAAATATGCTTCTAATAAAATAACCAAGCAGTTTGCATTGAGGTGGTTCATTTATTTATTTATTTGAGGTGCTGGTGATCAAACTCAGGATCTTGTGCTTTCCAGGCAGTCATGGTGCCACTGAGCTAAATCCTTGGTCCTAAAGGATGCTTACACTTACATGTGTGCCCACCAAGCAAGGGTTTATCCTCTCAGGTCAGACTGTGGGTTTCTGTTCTGCTTTACAGAGGGAGATGCGGAAGGAGAGAAAACGTATGTGTGTGGGCATGTTCTCTACAGGCATTTAATAGCCTCTCATTTAACAACAAACACACTAACCTCTAAGAGTTCTCACGTGTTAACAGAGTGAATCAGATTGAATCCTTTCAACAACCTGGGAGGAAGACACTGCATTCCCACTTAAAGATGAGGAACCGGGCAAAGGGAAGGGCCAGGCCAAACCTTGCTACTACTAAGTGGCATCTGTGGAATTCAAACAGACCTCCTACTACTGCTGTCTGCACCCACCCCTCTCACCCAATGCCCATTAAACTACTCAAGGGTCACGTAAACCCCTAACCGCCTGCCATCTCTGCCATACTTAAAAGAATTTGTCTGTCACGCCTCTCAAATACCATTCAGGGGTTCTTAACCTGGGGTCCATGGCTTCTTTGTACTTGGCAAAAGTTTTAGTCTTTAGTTTTTCTGACCTTGAAATGATATTAAGCATGTCCTTTCCTTGTGGATGTGGCCGTCAAGCCCCAGGGGTATTAACACTACCTTTAACTCTATGGGGAGCAGGCGTCACAGATAACTTCATATCACATCTCAATGGCTGCAGATATCTCAAACTATCATATTTATGGAATTATAGTATTTTCTCAAAAAAACAAAACAACCAGAAAAACCTAAGACGACACACAAGTGCCCGTGCCCCACGAACTCAACTTAAAAAAATGTAGGAACACTTCTGCTCAACAGAGAAAATTACCTTCACTTCTGGAAGATGTTTCCTTGTCCCATTCCACATCCTCTTCCTCTTGCAGCCACTTGGGCCTTCAGAATAGCAGCATAGGGTCAGGAATGAAGCTCAGTAGTGCTGTACATGCCTGGCAAGCACAAGGTCCTGAGTTCAATTCCTGGTACTGAAAGAAAACAATAGCAGTGTTTCCTCAGCCAGTCACTGGGTCTTGGTTTTTATTTTTCACACTCTTTAACATGGGTGGATTTTTCAGCATGTCGGGCAAAATCAGAAAGCAGACCTTGCTGCCACGAATGTACACCTGGTCCACCTGTGCCACTCAGCTATCTCCGTATGTGACTGATGTTGGACATCTGGCAGTCATATTGTCCTCTGCTTCCCCCCATATACCAGTGTTTGTCTCACATGTCACAGTGTGGCCCTCAGCTTCCTGCAGGACTTTAATCAGCAGACCAATAGACATCTTGACAGGAAGAAAGATCTTAAGCCTTTCCTCACCTCTCCAACCTCCCCCCTCTTTCCAGGCAACTAATCAGGAGATACGATGGCAAGGGTATGAGGAATGTGAAAGGCCCCTTCTAGTGATTATTAGATCTATATCAACATATCTTATTTAATGTGATACGTGTATATATATCATGTTATATGTATGTCACATATAAAAATACAAAGTTTTCCAATATCTTGATAATTGTTTTTCATCACGACTAGTTTCACTTGTAATCCATGTGCTTCCTACTGTGCATTTGAAAATATTCTTCTGAGAAAGGGTTATATTCTTTGAGGAATACAAAAATCAGTTAAGAACTACTGACTAGCCCTGTGTTTTCTGCCCAAGAAAGCTTCTGACCGGTAGGGGGCGGACACAGTCACAGTGTCATAAGTGGGACCTGTGATCTCTTACTGTCATTGTTGATTACTGCCTGGGGGATGCAAATGACTAAGCAACTGCCAGGCCTAGCATTAAGGGCTAGACAAATGAAATTCCAAGAATTCAAGAGATTGGCAAAAACAAAACAAAATGAAAACAAAAAAGCAGTGCATTAGCAGATATGTGGAACTTGGGAAATGAGATCATCCTACATTTACCACCCCTTAAGCACCCAGTGCTGGAGATGCTGAAATGAGTGAGACTGTGTCACTAACATGCCTATTCTAATGGTGAAACAGACTTGGAAAAGCAGTTTGGGCTGACACTGTCTAGGGGAGTCAGGGAGGACTTCCCAGAGGAGGGGATCTGAGTTCTGCAGGACAAATGAGTATGTGTCAGAACAACATGCTTCCAACATTTACTTAGGGTAAATGATTCAAAGGTCATGAGACTGGAGAGATGGTCAGGGTCAACGAGCTTGTCTGGGTAAGATATCTTTACTCATAAGCAGTAAGAAGGATGGGAGTAGATTTCAGGGGAAAGACAGTCGACATCATGACCTTATCAATTCAAGAGACCAGCTTAGAGGACTGAGATGATACTGAATGAGTATATTGGTCTGCAAAGGTTTGAGATTTTAGGGAGGAAAGGGAAGTTTGCAGGCTCTAGGAGGGTAGGGAGTAAGACTTATTAGCTGGCACCTAATTGCCCAGAGTCTGCATGGTACAGTGCTAGTGATGATGGTTGCTTAGCTCTGAATAACCCAGAGACACAGTCTCAGCCCTGTGGTACCAGAGGTGTTCACTAGATCTGACTTAACAGTTGTACTGAGTTGAACAAAACTGAGAGAACTTCCACTTCCAGTGATAGACTAGAAAGTTTAGACCAGTTCTAGCACTGAAGTAGAAAATCTGGGCAAAACCATTAAACACCTCTACTTGAAGGCACATGAGAACTACAAAATAGCAAAGAATCACCAGGCCAGAACTCAAGCAAGGATGGAGTGCCAGGGAAGTAATTTTTACAGTTCACCCTGGGATCATTTGCTGATCCAGGGGAGGGTAGCAAATGTGGAGCTGAGCTTTGGGCAGGTTCTCAAGGCTACAAGTACAAGGATTGGAGCCCAGGGTCTACCATGGGCAGAGTAGAAGAGACCCAGATGGAACTGTTCCTTTTGAGTTCAGGCCCCAACAGGCTACACCCATGAATATAAGTGGACAGCCTTTACATAATCAAAGCTCTGACACTGTCCTTGAGTGATCCAGAATCTCCAGTGATCACAGCCCCCTGGCAGAGGCAAAGGTGCACCCTTTGTGGTTGGGGAAATTTCATCTTGGGCTTCAATTATTTCTGCAAACAATTTTACAAATAAAATATCTAGTGCACAATTAAAAATAACTAGGCACACAGAAATAACATGAACTAAGAACAAAAACAAGGGGCATTAGAAACCGACCAACAGGGGCTTTGGATACTGAATTAACTCTGACTTTAAAATCACCATGCTTGAGGGCTGTGTATATACCTCAGAGTACTTGTCTAGCATGCACAAGGTCCTGGATTTGATCCCCAGCACCACAAAAACAAAGTCACAACTCAAGCCTCTAATCCTAGCTACTTTGGGGGCTGAGGCAGGAGGATCACAAGTCTGAGGCAAGCCTAGACAACTTAGTGAGACCCTATTTCAAGAAATAAATAAGGCTGGGCATGCAGATCACTGATAAAGTACTTGCATAGCATGCATGAGGCCTTGGGTTCAATCCCCAGTACTGGAAGGAAAAAAGATCACTATGGTTGCTATGTGGAAAGAGATACAGTTCATGACCTGAAAATTTCAGAAGAGTACTTACAATAAAAACTTACTAAAATAACCAAATATTCTAAAATGAGATACTGATGTTTACTCAGTTCTGAATATTAAAAAACACTGAATTGTAAACTTTAGAAGAGTGAACTTTACAGTATGTGACTTATTTCTCAATAAATATCAAAAAATGAGAACACATGGTAGACCATGTGCTTAACGTGCAAGGCTCTGGTTCTATCCCCAGTACCACCAAAGAAAAAAGTGGGGGGAGGCAGGGCAAAATTCCTAAAATTTTTAAAAAATGAAACACATAGAAAGTCTAGGAATGAACAAAAATAAATGAAGTTAAGTACTTGGTGCTTAGGTGTAACTGTGGACATCTTCAGAGGCCTCAATCAACCATTAAATTAGTCTGGAGCTCTGTCATTCTGTGCTAAGTCAGCTTTCCACCACTGTGACAAAATACATGAGAGGTTTATTTTGACTTATGGTTACAGAGGTTTTAGTCCATGGTCATTTGGCTCTGTTGCCTTTGTGCCTTGGGGCAATATATCATATTGTGAGTATGTAGCAGAGGAAGCTGCTTATATCATGGTGGCTGGAAAGTGAAAAAGAGATAGGAATTGCTCATTTCTCTGCCCAGTAAGGGCAATCCTCTAGTGACTTAACTTCTTCCCACAGGTCCCACCTCCTAAAGGTTCCACTGCCTCACAGGACCACCACATGCTCAAGACCAAGCCTTCAACACACGAACTTCTGGAGGACATTTAAGATCCAACCTACAACATCTTATTACCTCTATCTTATCACTTCTTATCACTTTGACTGGGATGATGAGGCTTTGAAAAAGTTTGTATAACATTTTGTTTACCAATTCTTGAGAAGGAACAGGCTGAGAAACTGATGAACCAGCTGAGCCAACAAGATGGGCTGACTCGTCCTTCAAGACATCAAGAAAGAAAGCGGAGACAGTCAGGAGGATCACAAGTTCCACTAGGGCAACTTAATGAGACCGTGTTTCAAAAAAATAAGAGGGACAGGGAAGTAGCTCAGTGTAGAGCATCCCTGAATTCAATCCTCAGTACTGCAAGAAGGAAGGAAGGAAGGGAAGGAGGGAGGGAGGGAAACAAGTTGGTCTTGCATGGTGGTACATGCCTATAATCCAAGCACTCAAGAAGCTGGGGCAAGGCTGGGGATTTAGCTCAGTGGTTCCACCGCCTGCTTCACAAGCCCAAGGCTCCGAGTTCAATCCCAGGTTCCAAAAAAGAATACATTATAGGCCGGAGATTTAGCTCAATGGTACCTCGCCTGGCTCGAAAGTGCAAGGCCCTGAGTTCAATCCCCAGTACCACAAAAAACAAAACAAAACAAGAAGCTGGGGCAGGAGGGCCATGAGTTCAAG